AGGAGGATTGGCGGATGTTAGCACAGGGCTGATCTCCTCACAAAAAAAAAAAAAAATATGCTTCTATTTCTTTTAAAATTCTTTTTTTAGGAAACTAAAAGCAAATACTTTCCTTATTAAGTCAGGTAAACAAATTTAAAAAGTGCTAATACTTCTCAGCGATGCCAATTGGAGAAACAGACTTATGTATAAACCCAGAGATCTTCTTTAATTCACTCTTACTGATCTCATGCCAGGTGTTCACAATGGTAAATGGGTTTCCAGATTACAAGTAACAAAAGCCAAAAAAAAAAAAAAAAAAAATTCTGTTCAAGAGAGGAAAAGTAGTTTGGATTCAGTTGAGCTAATACTAAAAATGAGGTAGGCAGGATAATTACATAGTGGGAATGTAGCCATGGAAATTAGTATTTAGGAATCAAGGTAAAGGTTGTGGAAATCTGCATGGATCATAGGAATGGAGGAATTAAGGAAAGGAGGCAAAAGGAGGAGAAGGAAAGAATCCACCTCAGCTGTTTCACATTTACTTAAGTCTCTGCGTATTTATAGACAAAAAGTTGGTGCCAGTACAGAATACAAAATACTGTACAATACATATTTAAATTAGTGTATTCATCCTGCAATCAGGATGGCAGTTATGATAAAACTTAAAAATTTCAGAAAACAACATAAATATTCAAAGGTGAAAAGACATACACATAACAGAAATAGACGATAAGCATTCACACTAACACACTCTTTCTGACTGCACGAGTGAAAGCTCCCCATTTATCTCCTGTGTGCCAAAAAGATTGCTTCAGAAGGCTCAGAATCAAAAACACTTGGGTTTCTTTACTTTGGGGGAAGAGAGAAATTCTGTGTGGTTTAGTTGACCATGATCAAAGCCAAAGACCTGAGGAGCCAGGGTGAGATGGGACAGGTGTGACGGGAAGGAAGATGGGAGGGGCATTTGGAAGTCACTGCTCACTGCTGCAAGATGAATCAACAGGCTTCCTCGGCCAATAACTTCAGTGCCATGACATAAAACAGATTTAAACTTGTTTGGGGGAGCTCTTTCCTCCCAAGAGGCAGTGGACTCCTCTTCACATAGGTGAGACTGACACCAGGCGTGCTGGGTATTATTAATTTAGAATTCAATTCACTACTTGGTTGGTAAGTCAACTCAGATTAATCACTCAATAGAAAAGTGTTGTCATATGGATGTTGACTGTAACAGGCTGTGGGAACCATTTTTCAGTAATATTTTAGTGAACCTCAAGCTTTATGAACAACAGACACTATTGTACAAAGAATAACACATCAGTGTTACTATTAATCAACATAGTTTTGTAACAGCGATTTCCTATGCAATACAAAACCATCTGTCCTTGTGGCTATGAGCACATGAGGGCTCTTGCTAATTTTCATCTCCTATGTCCAGGAATGATATACATAAGTGTTCACATTTAGATCTAATTTTCCTAAATATAAAACTTCTAGTCATGGAATCTGAAATATGGAAATATTTTTGTATGGGTGGTTAAGATTATTCTGAGGATTAAGTTTGTATCTTTATGTTTTCATAAGTTATAATACTGGTAATTTCTTTGTTTAAAAGATCATTAAAATGAGCATCCTCATACTGGTGACATACTTTTGAGTGAATAAGATTTTGGACTCGTACAACACATTAGGTAAATATAATATAAATGCCTATAATCTTTAAAGCACACACCTTGGGCTAAAAGCTTGCATGTACAACTTATTTCAAACGTATATTTTATGGTTAGAATTTATAATTCAGAATAAAAGAACTTTATGCCTCAGTTTCCTTGTCTGTGAAATGAGGACAAAAATAGCACTGGCCTCAGTGGGGTGTTGTGAGGATTAAAAGACTTATCTTATGTAAAGCTCTTGGGAAAACACATAATCAGTGCTAAGTGTGACGATACTGGTGATGATGACGATGGGTGCTCACAGGAGCTCCCTTACCAGTGGGCAGCTAAGTGATGCCCCAGGTCTGAAGAGTACACAGCAGGCTGAATACCCTCTTTCTTTGACAAATTTCATTTGGCCTTGCTTTCTAACAGCTATGAACTTCACTGTTAAAAGAGAATTTACAGGGTTTTGAAAACATTGTGTTGTTAAGTAGAGCAGGACATGAATTAATCTGAGAAATAGACGTGGTTTAAATTTTAACTGTGAAAGTGCAATTCCAGCCACTCTAACCTGGACTCACTGGGGTTTATCACTCCCACTGCTTGTCTTTCATTTTCCAATAAAAAAACCAAGATACAGGACATCTCTTCTGTGTCTCTACCGGGAATGTTGTGAAGATAAACAAGATGCTGGCTTTACTAGGTTAGGGAGCCCTGCTGGAGACCAGTGAAGGTGGTTCTATTTAATTTTACTTTAATGTAACAAATGCCGTTTTTTTTTTTCATTTTCAAGAATCTCTGGACATTATATCTTTCAAAAAATCGGTGTCGAGTAGTCGAAAGATTATAGCCTTGATATCCAGGGACTATAATTTTTTTCTTCTATTCGGGACAGTGTCCTTATTTCTAGCGGTGTAGCCTTCTTCCTTCCTCTGTGAAGACCTGATTCCTCAGATCAGACATCAGTGTGTTTTTGGAGCACAGGATGGAGAAAGATTAGATGTATGAAAGAATCGCACAGGCTCAAGAGCAAAGCAGACAGCATGAGAAAATCAACCAGGCACAGGCGAGGATGGACAGGTCACCTTTTCTCCCTTTTCTCCCAGATCACCCTTCTCGCCTCGTGGACCAGGGAAGCCCTACAGGATAAAAACAAACCACAAAGATCTATTGATGTAACTGTGGCAAAATCATTTTGGCAAAAAATGTAAGGTTTCATGTTTCTGAACACAAATATAAAGAAAAATGGCATGCCCAACAATCTCAAAACTTAGATAGGTAAAGTAGCACTTAGAAATCACAGTTTTCTAACATCTCAGTTATCTATATACTACAGGTTTCTTGCTTTTTCTCCTAAGAAATGTATAGTGGAGAGAATTTCAGAATCCTAGTTTGAATCCTGGCAAGTTCACTGATTTGTGTGGCCTTGGGCAAAACACTTACCTCTCAGCACTTCAGTGCCTTAACTGTAAAATGGGGTTAACGATGCCTACTACACAACCGTTTCGAGAGTGTTGACTGCGATGATGTATATCCAGCGTCAGAATGATGCCTGCGCACAGCCGGTGCTCAGTGAACAGTGACTACTATCACCTTTGTATTGTTGTTGTTCACATAATACAGGATGAGCATTTCAAGAGGCATTCACTTTTGACATTCTCTATTTTTATAGAATTATGTTATTATAAGATATATAGGGACTTTATGCTAAAAGAAAAATGTATTACATAACAGCTTTGAGAACAGACATAATATACCATTCCTTAAGGGCAGCATGTGAAAGATATTTCAACTTTATGCATATTTTCACATAAGTGGTTCAACTGCAGATGTTAAGAGTGTCCTTAATTTGGGAAAGTATTTTGAAGTGCCACTACAACTGTCAGTTATAAATTTTATACCAGCAACTGTGTTTTTTCTTTCATATTTATCTCAGGCAAACATTAGTGGTGTATTTTCTGTTGTTGTCTACATGCACAGCAATATATGCTGTATGCATAACTATGTGCACAGGAAAAAAAATGCTGTTATTGATGATGGAGACCATCAGCATCCATTATAATAGGAAGATGTTTATTGTCCATACTACTTACATCAAGACCAGGCTCTCCATCTTTCCCCTGCCAAAGAACCACAGTAGCTCCATTAGCGTTCCTAAGCTTCATGAATCAGTTACTGTTTTATTTAAGGCCTCCTGGACATGCAACACTAGTATTAGTACAACTACTTCAGAAATGTGAAAAGGATTCTCTATTGATTAGTAATACCAATTTCTTTCATTAAATCAAGTGAAGTGACTGTTAGTGTTGCAGTTCAGTGTCATGAAAATTTTTTATTATATATTGGGTTAGTCTGTTATTTTGCCAAAGTTTAATGCTTGGTATCTAAGTTATCAATCCAGGAGTAAGTTGAAAGCAAAAATACTATATAGTTGACTTAAAAACACACCAGCATTAATAGAGTATGCAAATCCATGTTAATTTAATTTGATAACTTAGTAGTTAGGAATGTGAAAACTGTTATTGTTAAATATGGTTTTAACTTCGCTAGATATGCACTTTGTCTATAAACATTGAGGGTATGAAGTTCACAACTTAAAACTGTGTTTAGGTAAGCTTTGTAAATGAATGATCCTAAATATAAAAGGAGTCATGAGACTGTTGTGCAAGGATGATAATTCACCCCGTGGTGCAGGTTACCAGGCCAATGACCCTATTGTGTCACACAGAGGATCCACCCAAGGTGACGGAGAGGTTGTTTTGATTCCGTCAATTAGATTTTGAAATCAAAATCAGCGTGTCTTTGAGCCCCGACGTCATCATGGTTTAGGTTTATTATTTCGGTTCCTAAAGACCGGAAGGTACAGGTGTGTGGAAGGTGCATGAGGGTTGAAAACCTTCACAGTACATGCTTCTGCTGTGGTCCTACCCCACCCACTCAATCACCTATAATTACCCCAAAGCTAACGCTCTGAAGTAAACCTGGGCCTCAATTGGAAGTAATTGAGAATTTTCAGAAGATGGAAGACCATAAACATTCTATGTTCTGAAGATCACTTAACACAGTAACTTCGAGAAGGTCAGAAACATCAAAGTTGTCCTAAACATCAATTTGAGAAATCAAGCGTAGTTTCAGTAAATAACCTATGTGAACAGATAAAGTCTGAAGAAGGTTGTTTTAGATAAAGATTCCACTTCCAGTTTTGGGACAGCGACCTTCCAAGGAAGTGCCAATTACGGGCGTCCAATCAGATGGCACAGGGAGGACATCATCTGACAGTGGGAACCCGCTTTCAGGATAGTTCTGTTTATCTCCTGGACATCCTCTGACCCTCCCAACTGCGGGGAGTGTGTGGGTGTGTGTCTGCACGTGAGTGGGAGACGACATGAATATGCCCCATCTCTGAAAGACGTGGTGACACTGGTGTTGTAGAGAATTAGTGGATTGAGCCTTGTTCCTTGAATGCGATTAGTCCACCCCACAAGGGAAGGGTTAACCGTGCCAGTGCCAGGTCATCTATGCATGCAGAAGGGGGACCACACCCGAGAGAGAGAACTCACAGGAAGACCGTAAGGCCCTCTGGGTCCAGGCTCTCCCATAGCTCCTTTTTCACCCTAAAATGAAAGGCGGAAAGTTCAATCATACACAAATGCCTATATTCACGCACTTTCCCTAATGGTCTGTGTACATAACCTCTATTTAAAGTACCATTCCATCAAAATTCTGAAGATTCAGGCACTTCCAGGGTCTCTGCCAGTAATATAGCAAAAGAAATCCACATCAGCATGTTTTACCAAATCACCTTTGAACACGGGCAGTAGGTGAGGCTGCTGCCGCCCAGGTGTGCAGAAGGACTTGCATCTCTAGGAGGCTGGACTTGGGTTTCTTTGGTATTAGTGGGAAACATTTGTTTGTCACTAATTATTTTGTTTCTACTTTTTTAAAAATGTAAGAATAAAATACCTTTTTTTTTTCCTATCAAATGTTTCTTCCTTTCACCCTGGCCCTTCACTAGCTGTCACATCACGGTCCTCACAGCGGGAGACACAAGCCTGCTGTAACCTGCGTACCCTCTGCTGAGCCCTTGCTAGGATGTGCACTTTAGGGTTCAGGGCCTCTGGCTTTGTTCCCCACTGCACCCCCACGCCTTATGATAGTGTCTGGCACATCAGTAAATATTTGTTGAATTCACAAATCAACTCAAATCAATACACTCATGCACATGTTTTGCTTTCTTTCTGAAAAAGGGGATTTAAAAAATTATGCCTTCTACTAAATGCCTGATAAAGTAGGTATGTATTACCTTTAAACAGAATAGCTTGCCCTGGCTTAAATGACCATCTTGAGCGCTTATAAAGAGTAAGTGTAATTGGAGGTGGTCCCATGGATATTAAATAGTTGTGACAATAAAGAAAGAGATGCTTTGCACTTCAAGTAGTGTTTTCTTCTGCTGCCATCTCCAAAATTAAAGTGTTCACCAGAATTTAGCACGAAACTTCAGGAGTCACAGCGATGTTTATGTGAGGGGCCAAACAGAAAATATTGCCTTCTTGTATCACACCCACCCCTGAGGCAGTTTGCAGGCGAGCAAACAGTTTGCAGGTTTGCTACATATTCGTTTGCCAGTGACTGCTTCAGGAGTGGACACATGACCTGGCTGTGGCCAATGAGGTGCCCTTTGGAAGCCACAGGGAAGGTTTCCTCAGGGCTAAGGAGGAGATGGTCCCTATGTGTGTCTGACGGCCTCACTGGAGGGAGGTTTGGAACCACTGTGACCAGCTTGCCTGTGGTCAGAAGACAAAGCCAGCATGCGGAAAAGGCACAGAAGCAAAGCCTCAAGTCCTCCTTCGAATATTCAGTTATATAAAACCGTAAGTTTCCTTATTGTTTAAGCCATTTTGAGTGGGGGTTCTGTCTCGTAAAGCCAAAAGCATCCCAATGGTCCCAGCTTGAAAACTTTTAGGAATGAAATATTAACACAGGGGTTTGAATGTGTAACTTCTTTTCCTGGATTAAATAATTCCCCAAGAACTCTCGAAGCTCTCAAATTTAACACCCTCTACAGAGTTCCTACGCAGTTACTAGGCCAGATGAAGAGTTCAGCTGACGCCAGGGGCCATCAGGTCCCTGAAGAGCTGAGTACTAATGCTGTCAATCATGGATTCCACAATTTCTGAATCACATTGTCTGTCAAATGTCTGGTTTCTTTTAGGCTCGTCTGATTTCATTCAGGCTCTTCAATTTGCGCGTCTACACTGAGGAATTATTCTAGAGTGGCCCCCTTTCCTGATTCCTCTCTCTTCAAAATGTGAAACTTTTTCAAGAGTCCAGATGGCGCCTCATCAATTAACGTTGAAAATTACACTCCAGTTCAGCACTTTGGGTTCGGGGCTCTTGGAGAGTGCTGACACACGATCCAGTTAGGATAGTCAGCATGCTGAGTAAATACAAGGGTAACACTTTAAGCTGCCACCATCTGACTCCAACTATGCCTTCAGAAATTCTTAGCGATTTCATTTGCTCTCCTGGTGAATTCTGCCCCAGCGCTGAGACCTGATACTCTGTGACAGTGTGGAGCTCTCCATCGGAAGTAGCAGCTGATTTACCAAACGGTAAGCCCTCTTGAGCCCCAGGGCATTCTTCCAAAAGAAGACTTGAGATTGGCTGCTCCACTTTTAGTACACGTACTGGATTTCTTGACACAATGCTTGCACGCGTCAGCAGTGCAAGGCTCTCAGTTTTTAAGTATTTTTAATTAAGATGATCTTCATACGTCGTTGGTTTGATCTTAGAATAAGACAATTGCAGATTCAGATTATTTATTCCTTTAGGACTCATCTCTAGAAGCAGTCTTGGATAGAGCCGGCCTTCTTCACTACCGTCTGCACGGCCTGCCCTACTTGTATTCTCTTTGGCCTCATTATCTGGTTACTTCTTGCAGATAGTTTTTTCCTCTGCAATCAGATTGTGAACTCTTGTAGACCAGGGAAAACAGCTGCATCTTTGACAGTATTGAGTAAATATGTACCATGTATTAATAAAAGGTTTAGGATGATGAATCAATTATAACGGTATTATTCAATTCACTGGAGCAAATTAGCAAAACAGACTTTCCATAAACGGGAGGAGAGTGTTTCTACTTAGCACGAGGAATGGAGTACGCCCTGTTTGGTACACGGTAACATGTGATAAATATTTACTGAATGAATGAATTCACTCTATAGAACATGGAATTATGTATGCCATAGAAATGGCATACATTTCTTTGGGATGTATGCCAAAGAAATCACTATGTGGCCCTCTATTTTAAAGCAAATTATCCCAGACTGATGAAACTCTATCTAGTTTTAAAAGACCACAAACTTGCATGATGAATCATTCCAGTATTTTGAAGCCCTCACTGTTAGGATACTTTCTTTACATCCTATCCTAGATGGTGGGGAAATTGATGACACAATTCCACCCAGACACACACAAAAACTGTTTTCCAAGGTGAGGAAAAGAAAAAGTGGGAGAAAATCAGAGAAAGAGGGAGAGAAGTTCCAGACAGATGACCAGCTGCTGATGCTGCAGTTCATTTTTGTGTGTCAGATATTTATCTTCCACTCTGAATGTCTTTTTTGTTTTTTTCCCAAGGATATGGAAACATGGCCTAGCAATAGAGAGGTTAGTGAAAGGTTTTTGTTTTATAATGCACTGAAATTATTTCCTTATGGTTAAAGAAAGACAGACTATTCTTTTGCTTGAGAAAAAAAAAGGAGCACATGTAACTGTGTGGAGGAGAATACTTAGGTTTTGTAATTTCCTTTTAAAAAAGATATAACTTACTCTGAATGAATACAGTAGCTTTATATAAAAGATTATCGACCAGAATATGTAGTCCTGGAAATTTTAGCCCCCTTGACTTCAACTTTCTGGATTAAGGCCAAATGAAAATATCTTCCTTATGGGTTACGAAGAAATGGTCTGAGCTATTTATTTTAGCTATGTAAATGTGTGCATTGTTTTTTATTACGCCAGCTATTCTATTTTAATACTCTGTTGTTCTCTTCCCACAGTGTGAGGACTCTGAAAAGAACTTAAGATGGTATGTATTTTTATTTAATGTTAGATGGCCCTTTATTTCTTCTGGAAAATGAACAGTTCAACTAAAATGGAAAAGCCACAAACTATTTTCTTTAGGCCACAGGTTAAAAACCTCAGTAGCAACTTACTCTTTCTCCTTTGGGACCTGCAGGGCCATGGGGTCCCATAGGGCCATCTGTACCCTATAAAAAAAGATACAAATAAGATAATATGAGACATATCCCAAGGGCTGTAAGAAAAGCAGTTTTAATTTATCCTGGACTTTCCCTGGGTGCATGATGGCTCGGAATGTCAGTAAGACAATGCATCTCCTTTCGAACTGTTTTATACTTGATTTTTTCAGGCCAGTAGTTTTCAAGAAACTCCTGCCAAAGGGAGGGATTATATAACTGCGCATTTCAATGAAGGGCACACGCAAAAAGCCATATATCATATTTAATTATATATTTCCTCCCTGACTAAATGGAACATCTTCACTTTGCCCCCAGAATCTGGAGAAGAAAAATGTAACTGTTCCTTCACATCACCTCTTCACATCCATTCTCCACTGCACTCTCCTTGGCCATGAGGGCTCTGAAGCCTTGTTTTCAGCTGTTTAAGAGGCTTGAACAGTTATACAAGTGGAAAAAAATATTAAGTGAATGAGAACACTGTTTAACTGTTCAAACCAAACTTTCCTGGACTCTGTTGGGAGCAGCAGGGGCTGTGAGGGAGGGAATTCTTACAGGTTCTGCCGCAGTGGCTGAAGTCACTGGGCTCGCAGGCTCAAACCAGGCAGCCGGATGACCTAATGGCACAATTGCCCTCTGGCCTCCTGGTTCAGGAATTTCTGTGGCAGATGAGGTAATATCTGAATGAATATAGGAACACTGAGGTCCAGTGAAAATAATGACTGCCTGAAGCAGGTTTTCAGAATTGAAGACCTTGGAATTTCTTTTTGATTCTTAAAAATGTAGCAAGGACTTCAAGTGTACTTGCTAATTTCCAGGAAGACTATGCTTAGATTTGCAAAGAATTTTGTTATAATATTTGCAAACATAGGAACTATTTCAGCACAATTTTTAAATAATATTTCTATTCCTGTTCTACTATTCTTGCTTATTCTATTAGATCCTTGTGATATGAAATAATTCAGGGTTTTAAACTCATTCTAATGTTGGTGAATTCTTATCATCCTAACTGATCTTTTTCTTCTGCCTGAACTCAAAGCTCATCTTTAGAATATTTCTAAACACTGAGTATCTGCGGCTGAAATTTAAGAGATAGAGCTGTTAAGAACCAAAGAAAAGAGACAAAATGACAGAAGACAGACAAGTCATTTCCATGAATAGAGATTTGAAAGTTAGTTTCAAGGAAGAAGTTACATTTCTAACATGGACATAAACATAAAAGGGAAAGCAAGTTACAATAAATTCACATTATTTTAATCCCTTCAGAGGGCTTCTCTCATGGAATTACAGGAAATGTCCACTGGCTATGGAAAAATCTGTCTGGGATTCTAAGACAATGAAGCCAATTAGATTGGTGATTCTTCCCACCCAGCAAGCCATCCCGACGGAACCTGGGCTGCAGAAAGAGGTTCTGCAGTTCAGGCTGCACATCAAACAGAGCTGTGGCCCGTGCTCTGTCACCTTCCCTTGTCTGCCACTCTCTTTGTCCTCCTTCTCCTTTCGCTCCAGTCCTGTGGACCCCTCATCATTTGACGGCAAGAAGGTCTGTCCTCACACAAAATTCATAGCCACAAAACATGTTGCAACAAGACGAGGGACTGACTCACCCGGGATCCTGGCTTTCCGTCTAAGCCAGATGCTCCCTGTGTGATTTGGTTGGTAGCAGGGTTGGTGGGTGTAACACGAATGACAAGAACAGAGATTAGTATGAGGCACCGATGCACAAATGTAACACTTCAAACAACATAATACGCAGTCACAGGGTTCTGGGATGAATATCACATTGCTACAAATTGTTAGTTAAAAAAAAAAACAAACACAGAACAGTAAACACCCTACAGATGATGGCTTTTTAACAATATTTCCATTCTACAAATTCTTATTTAGAAATCAAGTTAATGAGGTTTATAAAGTGGGCTTTAAAGTAGTTATGGGTAACAGTTACAGGCTGCTAATTTCCATATGAAATTCATTTTCTAAAGACTGTACTATTCATAATGTATTTCTTTAGGTTCTGAAGAAAAAATAACAGCCAATCTCATTGGGCTCATTGTAATAATCAATCAAGGTTAGCATTTCAGAGGAGAAGAAAACAGCTCTAGTTTTGCTTGTTAAAATAGCATTTGTGAGGGGCCGGCCTGGTGGCGTAGTGGTTAAGTTTGCGAGTTCCGCTTCTGCGGCCCGGGGCTCGCAGGTTCGGATCCCCAGCGCAGACCTACGCACCGCTCATCCAGCCATGCTGTGGCAGTGTCCCATATATAAAATAGAGGAAGATGGGCACAGATGTTAGCCCAGGATCAATCTTTCTCAGCAAAAAGAGGAAGACTGGCAATGGATGTTAGCTCATGGCCAATCTCCCTCACCAAAAAGGAAAACAAATAGTATCTGTGAATATCAAATACAGAATTTTAACATGGCAAGATGACTATGGATTTTACATGAACAATATTCATTGTTTTCTGGATTGTTCTTACTGTGTTCACATTAGTCACCACTAGAGGGACTACTAGGAACAGGAAAAAGCCAGAAAAATGTCATGAGCCCAAGCAAAAAATACCTGTCCCACACGAAATCGTTCCTCAATTCACTTCAAATAATCATTGCATCCAAGTCTGAATGGGAAATGTTTTAAAAATCTAATGTGGTTTGATGCATGCTTTTCTTTACCTTGAACTCAAGGCTACCTGTAGTGTATGATTAAAAGATGACATTTTCAATGCTTGTCTCAAGAATAAGCACAACTTACTTCTTTGATACGGCTTTTGTATCTCAAAACTCAAATAGTGATTTATAGTCCTTTAAAAATATTGATTAGGTCAAGGAGTATTTAAGACAGACAATGCACTAGCCCTATAAATTCTTTTGGCAAGGCTGCAGAGCTATTTCTCCATTTTATGCTTCAGATGTAGTTAACAATACAAAATGGAAGAAAAAAATCTATTCCAGCTGCAAACTTTACCAGTGATGCTATACCATATATATTTTGGGTACTTTTAGTTTTTTATTTTACAATTCCTTCTATATAATCCTATTATGAGTCAGATTATAACTGCAAAGTACATCTTTAGTTAGCAATGAGGAAAATCTAAAAAATGTGTGTGTGTTGTTTTTTGTTTGTTTAATGCTAGTGTATATAGCGCTTCTGGCTAAACGTTGCCTAAAAATAATCACTCCCCCCAAATGTGAAATTAGGACAAACTTTAGAGACATCAGATTGAGGGTTTACATAAAATAGAAATCCAAACTTCCTTTTGCCTTTTGATACTTTCCTCAGAGTCACCAATATTATAATATTTAAAAATAAATAGGGAGATGGTAAAATTTTTGCACTGACAATATAATATTATATTTACCTGGAATGTGAATTAATGACTCACATATGTTATAGAGGGTTTACGCCTGTGGTCCATTCATCTAATTGGTGTTATTTAACCTATATTCCAATATGAGGCTTATACCACTCATCCAATAGATGAATACATATGAAGCATCTGGTACGTGCCTGATCTATCTAAGGCACTGGCTACCAAGTAGAATACTTTGGTACTTAAATACACATGGGAAAAATGAAATAAGTGGTCACCAACTTTTTTTTATCTGTAAAATATGTGTATAAACTATTTTCCATTGCCAATTTTATATCATATTTTAATAATATAATCTATAATATTCTTTATTGACTTTTATCTGCATTCACTGAATAGACAGCATAGTAAAAGCTTGAAACTAAAACCTCATATTCAATAATCATTTAAAAAAATCTCTTACTTGTGGAAAGAAGACTGACATAAAGTGCATAAAAGATGAAAATCCCCTTTTCATTAAAAATAAAAATGTCTAAACAACTGCAAAACACTTCTTCAACATTATCCACTCTTGCCACAAGAACCTCATAAAAGGGTATTTCCAAAACAAACAATGTACAACATCCAGACCACGATGTGACTGATTAATATAAGGAGCCACAGCACTGACCTCAGCCATCAACAATGGCCAATTGTATACCTGCCACCAACAGAGGGCTACGGTTTTTGATACCAAAGGAGAAAAAAAAAATTGAGGGAGGATTTTAAACTGCACTAAATTATAAAAACGTTTGGGAGAAATTATGAAATAACCAGCACAATACTTTTTTAAAGGAGAAGGTGATGAGAGAAGGATTGTCAGCCTCAGAAGAGGAAGGTTGGCGTGTATGTAATTGAAAGACAGAGCACTTAAGGCATTGTTTGCTATGGGTCCTCCTCTGACACAAGAGCAAACATCAGAGAACACACAGTTGGGCTGAGCTCTGCTCTAACATAACATGTCTTCCAATCACAGAAATCTCAACTGTAAGATAGTCACCGAGTAAACCAGAGTTGTTACTTGAAAGAAAAGTCTGAGATTTGCACTGAAATGGAAAGTTTTCTTTACTTACTGGAAGACCAAGGGGTCCTCTGTCACCCTTTTGACCTGGTTCACCCTTCAATCCTTTAACACCATTTAACCCTGGTTCACCCTAAATGCAAAAGCAAATGCCAATTTTGGTTGCTATCACGGGTGTTTCAACTGCGAGAGAAGAGAGCCAGTCTCTGAAATGGCTGCAGATTCCAGTTTTAGGTGACAGCAGAGTCAGGCTAGATTTGACTTGCATTAGTTCAAAATTAATTTTAAAAAATTTAAAAAATTAATAAACTGAAATTGACAATTAAATAATATTCTTGGAAGCAAAACTCCCGGGAAAGTGTGCTGCTTACAATCAAAATATATATGACTGAGTTCCTGAATCTTTCAGTTCTATCTCAGGGAAACTGGTGTTATGCTACATTGTCCTGACCAAGCAAATCACAGACAATCAGAGCAGAGGATGCTGAAGGAGGTTCAGCAGGAAAACCCACTCTGCTGGAATGGAAAACTGGAATATGCAGGACAGCGTTATACACAGATATTTTAAGCCTTTAAGCATTTTGCCCAGGGGAAGCAGTTAAAAATGCAGCACCCGATGTTTGAAGTGATGCCATTTAGTGAGTCCTCATTCATTCATATTGCCAAGTCAGGTCCCTACATGGGCCAATTAATAGAGTAGACAATAAATAGCCAATCTCAGAAGAGAATATGAAGGTCACAGAACTTAAATGTGGCTTTACTAACTGTCCGCCTGCCCAATGTTAGAATAAAGGAGGTTTGAATTCAACTTAAGATGACATCACGAAAGCCATGGTAAGTGATAAATTCTCTTGACTCTGTTTTTCAAAAATCTAAGAATACAGGACAGCTACTTTCTATCAGAGCAGCACGTTAGAAATAGAGAGTTCTGACGTGTTCACTTTTAACTCTTAAGTACAGATAGTAATTTCATCAAGAAAATCTTGAAAGGCGTGTAAAAGGAAGATGATTTCAGTCTCAAATGCCCTGTAGAGTCTCGCTGGGTGGGGCGGGAGGGGGAGATTATGCTTACACGGCAGGGCAGTTGTTAACCTGGGCAGTATTTCCCCCATCTGCCTGGTGAGGAAAATCAGTGTGGTGCTTATTAAACATAGAGTCCAGGGCCCCACCTAGACCACAGTGGTACAGGAATGGGTGTTTTTAATAAGCCTCCCAGGGGATTCTTCTCATCAGGAAATTCTGGGCAGCAGTGAGCTAAGGAGCATCCATGAAACCAGGCTATATATTTGAACTTCCAAAGGAATCACAAAGTAATGAACACATTGGCATAACCTAGTGGGTTTTGGGGGTTCTGAAGATAGGACATGCTCAGTGCTGCCACCATAGGAAATCCAAATGTGCTATGGTGGGTAAAGTATGATCCTGGGAATGTCACAGAGCTAGAGTCAATCTGAGATCAAGACCAAGGCTCAATAGCCATCTCCAGCTAACTGGCTAAACTTGAGATCCACGGCTTTGCAAGTGTGCAGACTTTCAGCAGGTGGTCTTGAGACGACGAACAGGCAGGGCAGCTTTGGTAGGCTGGGAAATTCTTTGGTGAGGAATCACGCATTTATAGGAGTGGGCATTAATTGAGAAGGTGAGTTGATAAACAATCAAATTCAGTGGCAAAAAGACAAAATTTCAACTCTGGACCTAAATTCAAGTCCCAAATCTGTCATTTAAGTAGCAGTGTAATTTAGGTCAAATAACTTCAATTTCCTGGGCCTATAGTTTATCATCTGTAAAATCAAGGAACTAGCACAGGTAATCTATAATGTCTTTTCAACTTCATAATTCTCTGAAATCTATGATTTCAGTAACAATTGAAGTTAAGTACAGGCAAAATAAACCATTGCATTTTAGATTTCAAAAGGATCTTGGGCATCTATTAATCTAATGGTGATGGGGTATCTGAATCACTCATGGAATTAAAAACACAGTCTTGGAGGCTTTAGCTTGAGTTATTATGATTAGGTTGGTCTTTAGTGGTGTCTTAAAATCCAAGGAGAAGCCCAGAGTGGGAAACACTGATTTAGTCCGGAGTAGGAACAGAGGCCCAGAGAGGTTAGGTAACTACCAAGACCACAAAGCTGACAGACGGGCTCTTTCTTCTGATCCCAGAACAATGCTCTTACCCCAAACTATAATCCCCGTGCCTGGGACACTGTCACTCACTGGCCCTACCAGAAGATAAGGTACTCTGAAGAATGAAGAACTCTTCCCATTCTTGGGTGAGTCACCTGCCCAGTCCCGAAAAGGAAACTCAGGTTTCTGGAGTCAGACCAATACCTCTGCCACCCCTAAAGCTGGTGGGCCAGATGGGGACCCCAGAGGAGAGGGTGGGCTGCCTCTAGGCGTTCTGATTCCTAGTGCCAACATTGCATTTATGTGTTCCTCCACCCTTCACCATTTAAATGAACCAACTCACTACTGAGGAGCTTTCAAGAGTCCTTGAACTTCTCAAGCAGCGTTGAGGAATAGGTAAAATTGTCTGTTCAGAACAAAGCATCAAATCACAAGATTAAAATGACAACTGACATGTATTGGATGTTTATCAACAACTGTAGATATTTTGCTAAGTGTTTTATCATGCCTCATTAAATCATCACAACACTATGAGGTAAGTTACCTAGTTGAGTAAACGAAGGATCAGAGAGAGTAAATAATCTGCCCAAGGTGACACAGCCTGTCAGCGGCAAAGGTGAGATTAGAACATAGGCTCTCACCACAAATGCTCCTTGGAAGAAGGAGCTTGTCTTTCAGGGCTCATTTAATCCTCCAAGGTGTCGTCTTGGTCTACACAAATGCAAAGACCAGGTGGAGAGCATCTTCACACTACAAGCTGCACTAATTCTGACAATGAGGGGCTATTCTCCATTGTTCTCTTGTGAATCCAGAGTATAGAATACACGTATGTGATGTAATCTTATCCTCAGTAGAGCAAACCTGAAGTACCTCACCCCATTCTAGACCAGTGACCTCTGGGGGAGTACAAAAATAAGATGCTGGGTAGTCAAAGCATTTAGGTACAGTACCGCTATATGACAAGCAAGAAGCATCAATTAATAACATCTAAATATATAACTAAAGATACCATAATAAGAAAGAGCATCTGGACTGGTCTGAGAATCTCATCAGATTCACTTCTGAATGGTTGACTTTGAGTACAGTATGACTGGTAACTTAAGAAACTTACATAGTGACAAGGAAAGAGGTAAAATGAGGAATAATTCATCTCCAGGTGACATCACTTAAATCTGTTGTAAGGCATTCTGTGTTGTGAGATTTAAACATCTGGATACTTAAAGGCTTAAAGATTATCAACATTACTTGACAAATAAATAAGACAGGACAGACATGCTTCCGCCATGCTCCTCCATGATTAACAAGGAAACAGAAATCAAATAATCAAGGGATTTGTTGTATTACCTTTGGTCCAGGAAGTCCATGGGGTCCCTGAAAATGGAAAACACAGCTTTTAATTAAGAATTAACTCGTTATTTCCCAGCAGAAGTGAATATTATACAAAGTAACAAAAGAGATGTAAAACAAGAATCTTCTTGTTTGAGCTAAAGTTAGAGGCAGGCCAGTAGAGTTAGCACCTAGTGGAAATTCCTTCCAGCTCTTAGATTGCTCTATAATAGGAAATTCATTAATAGCAATTCTAGGGAGGGAAGAATCTGCCACGGTTATATGGAAGAAAAAAAGTATTGTGAACCCACACTACTCCTATTTCTCAACTCCCCATTTATCTCAACTCATAAACTTTATGAGTTTATATGGAATAAAAGTAGGCCTTAAAAGACAGAAATTTGTCAAAGAAAAGTCCCAGACTTTTAGTACCAGTGAAGAGAAAACCTTTTCCATTACTAATTCCTCTAGACCCAAGCTGCTGAGGAATCTAAACGAGGAAAGAAATGAGGAGATGCCAGTCAAGTTTGGAACCCTGTTGCATCATTCATTTAATTTAAAACTAAGGAAAGGATTCTAATGCAGGAGTGCTAAGCATTGTTATTTAGAATGCATTTATTTTTACAAAGACGAATTCTCCAAGGCTCTTGTAACAGTTGTTTACCAATGGAAGGAAGTCATAACGCATGCACAAATCAGGGTTTTTCCTCTGTATTTTGTGGAAAATCTAAATATAGAGACTAATTAGCCAACCTAAATTAACTAAAGCTTACTGTGTATTACTTTAAATTTTCAAGTGATTAAAATAAATTATTTTGAAAGAGGAGTATTTAAATACCCATCAGTGAAACCCTACAACAGTAGGAAAAAGTTTTTTATCAAGCAATACACAGATATTTGTTACACATGTCTACTTTGGAATAATATTTTCCCTTAGATAAGTTGTGAATAAACATTTTCAGGAAATAGCTGTTACTTTATCAAGTATCCTTATCTCATTTTAGTAATGGTTTAAAATTTCTTTAAACTAATTAAATTTTGTGATATGAACAGGATATAGCATTTTTAACTTAATCTTCTAACTTAAAGTGGAGGGAGTATGAAAAAGCCAAAAGTATGCCATTTGCTTAATTCTTAATGAACTGTTTAGTTTTAAGAAAAGAAGGATAATTAAAATTGTTTTGTGGTATGGAATAGAAATGAGTGAGTAAGGAATAGATGGTTGGGTCTGGGGCTACGTGCAGCTTAGATCATTCCAATGAGGCTCTTTCTTAGGGCACAATAGGAGGAAAGAGTGACCACAGTTTACTTAATCTGTAGAGTTGAAGACATGTGGTTTATTGAGGCATCTGAGAGATGAAGGGGACCTTAGAGGCTGCCTGACTTGTCCCCTCCTGCCCCAGTCAAAAGCATTAGAAGCACTGAGCCATTTACGTTCTAGCCTTAACACAACTGTCACTGGGTGACATTTGGAAAATTACACTGGTTTAATGGCTGCCTTCCTCACTAGATGTAAGTCCCTAGAGGGGACCAATGTAAGTCTCCATTGGTCTCTGAGGAATACCTGCAGTAAACACTGCATCTACTGAAGTACCATAAAAATGAAAAGAAAAGATCCAACAATATATGCCATCTGTGGAAGTGAGCTTCCCTTTTATCATATTATTTTATAAATGTTCTTATTCACATTTCCTTAAAGGGTCGCAATCCTCAAAGCTGGTTAGAAACATCCATTAACGGCTACAATTATTAATCTTGTTATGCTACTAATGGCCTAGAGCAGTGATTGGTTAAAATGATTTTCTGATGTTCATACCATAAGGTTGGAATAAAGCTGGCCAGATCTCTCTCTCTTCAACTCTCCTATCACAAAACTACACTGTCTCTTTCCGACAGATGCGTTTGGAAGAGTGAAAGACAGCACTGTAAAGTCAGCATATCTCAAAGCACCTCGTATTTTCTGTCCAATCCACAGAAAGCAGTTCAAAACACAAGCTGGCTGTTTTCAGGGATGTGTTCGTGTTTTCTGTAGTAGCACGCTCATCAATAAATGATCACATGGTGGAGAGAGGGGAGACTCACCATGGGGCCTGGTGGGCCATGGGGACCTGGTGGGCCTGGTGGGCCTATGATCTGCAAGTCCAAAAAATAAACATGGATTGGGTTACTTCATTTAGATAAGGCAGTGTGACTTGAATCTTGTGCTATTAATCATTGCAGAGGAAGAAGGGATGCATTTGATTCTCTAGGTTTAGAAATTCTTTTAAGAGAACAAAAAATCTTGAAAAAAATACAGTTGTTCTACAAAAGCCAGAATAAATCAAAAGTACATTCAAAGAAAAGGAAGCAACCGATTACCAAGAAATACTATAATGCCACAACCACTATTGAACTCTCAGATCTTTCACTAAGCCACAACAGGGCTCTGGAGGGAAAAAGAACCTATGTTCTATATTCACAGAGCTCTGTCCACAGCATCGTGGGAAAACCATTGATTTCCCCTCAGGATGAGACAGTCCTCTGAAACACTGCTTCTAACTCAGAGCTCTGAGATACTTGGTCTTTCCTCGTACAAGACCGACAAATGTTTGTTCTACAGTTTGACAAACCAAGAGGGTTGCAGTCTTTCTACCATTGACAAACGCCATGTGGCACAAACTGAGCTAGGTGAGTAACAGGCCTGTTTCAGAGTTCTCCAGGAACGTAGACGTTCCGCCACCAAGGACTTACGGAAGGACCCTGAGGACCCGGCAGCCCGGAGTCTCCTTTCTCTCCTTTGATTCCATTGGCACCCTACAAATAACCATTGAGAGAACTGAGCTGGTGAACTTATTTCCAAAGTGTAAGAAACAACTGAATTTTCTCCCCAAGTCCACCATCCCCTTGAAATTTTTATAATATTATGCACGTGACATATAAAAGAGGAATTTAACCCCTTGAGTTTTAGCCTCAAACGGCAAGCTTCCTCCAATCCCTAGGATGGTGGGTGACAAGTGAAATAAAATATAAAGCAAATAAAAACTAGGTTAGGCTTGATTGGTTAACTCATACATTGTTAAATACATCAGATTATAAACGTCATTTTTTTTATGGTAGTGCTCACTTTGAATGGCAAAGGTCAGTCTTTTTAAATTATTTTGGTGAGGAAGATTGGCCCTGAGCTAACATCTGTGCCCATCTTCCTCTATTTTGCACGTGGAACGCCACAACAGCATGGCTTGATGAGCAGTGCGTAGATGTGCACCTGGGATCCGAACTAGTGAACTCCGGGCCGCCACAGCGGAGCGTGTGAACTTAACCACTATGCTACCAGGCCAGCCCAAAGGTCAGTCTTTTAACTTAGTTTTCATTGACATTTATTTATACATTTCCTTGTTTTAAAACAGATCTAGGGCAATGAAGTTTTCTACATGTTTTTCCTACATTTTTCCCTCGAAATTCTCAGTAAAAATGATGGAGGAAAACAGTAAAAACACCATCCCACAGTATCATACACACAAAGAGAACACTTTCCAGGGTAACTTGTTTTTTAATTGTTTTATATTTTTTGGTTAGTTAATTTTTTATTATAGTTTATTTAAAAATGATCAGTCACCACCATCTTATGCATACTAAGTTAAAGTGATCAACTATATTTATTTTACTATCTTCTAGTAAAATAATTCAGGGAAACCTGATGGTGTGTTTTATAAGTCATTTGGCTGATGCTTTAACATTTTTTAGTGCCCCAGTGGAGTATTTAACCAATAATACCTTAAATATTTAAAAATAAAAATGTTATAAGAACCACTGGACAGGACTGCAGCTAATAACATAACCCTTTTCTGATTATTTAGTTTATCTTAATACGAACACATCATAAAAAGTATAAACCTACCGGTAATCCAGGAAGTCCAATTCCTCCTTTTTCACCTGGCATACCTGGGTCCCCCATGTCTCCCTTTGAGCCTTTGAGTCCCTACAAATGATATAGTTTGCATGTAAGAGTCTTACCGACGCTTGATAGTATCATCCTCAGGAAAATAGAATTCTAGATCAGTTTTGTCACTAGGTGGGCCCTATGCTGAGATGACTCTGGTTTTCATTGTTAGGTAGAGTTATTTCTTATAGCAACCTTCTACATTGAATCAATACTCTTTCCCCATATAATGGAAGGGATTAAATTCTATTACTTAGGCCATTTAAGTATGAAAAACATGAATTTAGGTGTTGACATGGTTTCTGCTGTTTCCATATTTTCACTTGGCAGCTACTTCTGTATCACTAGTCCTGAGAACAATTTAATGGATTAGGTTTCAACAGTACAATATACATTTTGAATCAGGACTACTGTTATGATAACAAAGATCCAAATAAATTTCTCCCATCTCCACCCACTATTCTCCTCTACCCCCTTACAGGCAGGCAGAAGTTCCAATCACATCAGTTTTCAATGGTCCAATACACAGACAGGTAAATCATTTACTGCACACCAATGCTCAATCAATGCTTAGAAATACTTCAAGTTTTCCACAGTGTTCTTATGTTCTCATGACGTCTCTATGAGGTGTTCCAGGATGTTATTTTTATTTTTCTTCTACAGTAAGGAAATAGATAAATGTGTGTTTTGAATGCTAGCAAATCTGAATTTTGTGATTCTAATACTGAAATTAATTTATATTGTTAAGCATTTTTGTCCAAGGGACCTCACTGCAATATGACCAGATGGCCCATTCTTCAGCAGAGATGATCACAGTTATTATAGCAAGGGGCCCCCAGACTGCACTAATCTGTTCATCTTCTCCCCACTAAAATCTACAGAAGGACAGCAATGTGTTTTTTCTTGTACTTATACATATTTCATCGCACCTAGTTCAGAATCACCCACTAGGTGGGTGGGTAGGTGACTGAATGGGTAGGTGGATCTTACTGGTTAATCAGACCCTGGTTGGTTGTAGGAATTGAGTTATGGACAGCAGCAGGATAGCCAACCCACTGTACTTAGTAGCAGAAGAAGACCTTGTGAAGCCTGTAGAAAAAAATCCAGCTCTTGTATACGTAGGGACCACGTAAGTATGTCACTATGCATGTCAAATTAATTATTTTTAATGACTAACAATGGGAAAGGTAATACAACTAGATTTTTAAATTCTAATGTGATCTCTGATTGATAATAGCAAATTATCTAAAGCTTCTTTCTTTTTAAGCTACCACATGTTTATTTAACGTGACATGATTTCAACATACAGATCTGATATTAAAATCACTCTCATCTTAATTTTCTTATCTAGTACTATCTACTGGGGAGTATATTTCACTAACTGTATCAAGAAACACCTTGATCTTCTTGATTTTACCCATTTCTTGGGTAAATAACGGAAGCTGAGAAAACATCAAATATCTTGAAACTGACCCTTGTGATTGGATTCTGAATTCTGAATACAGTCCATTCTCCTGCTCAGATTCTTTTTGGCCAGGTGTCAGCTATGGTTTATGGGCCAAATCTAGCCAAGGGATTATTTTTGTACAGGATGAATGTTTTTAAAAATTTTTAAGGGGTGTTAAAAAAAAAAAAAAAGAATATGTGACAGAGACTGTATGTGGCCCTAAAATATTTACTATCTAGTCCTTTATAGAAAAGTTTGCCAATCTCTGTTTTGGGGGAACCCTCGGATATTGCCACGTTCTGCACAGCTACCAGTGCCCTGCTTGCTTCTGTCTTTCCTAATGATCTAGAAAATTAGGTGTAATCTTTATTTGGGAAAAGAAAACATTGTCAAAATCACACAAATAAGCAATATCTAATTTTGTGGAAACTATGGTCACTGATTTTAATCTTGAATTATTTGTATTCACTGATGAAAATTAGGCTATTCTTACTAAATTGGCAACGATCTTACAAGTCTACTAAAAATTCACAGAGGTGTCACTGGTAGATTGATAAGGACCATTAAGACAAAACTGAAGATCATATAGCTTGTACATTTCTGCAAAAGAAAACTAATGTCTACCGTAAAACCAATTGCTTTTCAGAGTTAATGTAGTCTCTAGAACAGATGGTGAAAAGGGAGGATATCATATATCAATACTCACGCCTTTTTGGCTTCAAACCTATCACAAAAGTAGTGATCAATAATGATGCTTTAAATGGCAGTATATATTTTTGAAAATTACCTGCTCTCCATCAGCTCCTGGGATTCCTGGAGATCCTGGCTCTCCCTGTTAAGATAAAAAGTGATGGCTCGACTCCATTTATCATTGGTAGCACACTACACTAAATAAAATGTTGCTAGCTGGTAACAGTACAATTTGACTTTCAGCAAACGCATCAGAACCCAAGAACATGCTATTACATCATACCACATATCTAAACTAAGTGAAATAACATTTTCTTGAAGATTATATATAATAATACTTAGATGTAGCTAAGATCCAGCAACTGTATTTTTTTCCCTGTGTGAGATGCAGGCTGAATGAAAAACTGAGTGGAGGAAAACCGATAGAGATCATTTGATGGCTGACTGTATCCTAGAACAACAACCTACACGCCTCAGTTAATTTTTTTCTCCTTAAAAAATCTGTATGAGTCCTCTTATTTTCCAATCTGAGGAAAAAACAAAAACATAAGTTTACAATATTTTAACTGGCACCATTGGAACAGTGGATACAAATTCATAATGATTGTGAAGGTACTATTTCCAGCTAAGCCTCACTGAAGACATAATAAATCAGATAATATCTTAATATGCATAAAATTACTTTTGGATCAATTCAATTTCCTATACTAAGTGGAATGAACTAAAATTTACTATTCATAGTATGATTTATTACAACCCTTGACAAATCCAGAACATGTAGATTTATTTTTTCTTAACTGAAGATGCTCTATTAAAAACAAATTTAAACATCGTGCTAGAGATTTATCCAAACAGCACATGTCCGTCACCTTTCAGTTGAAAAGGTCCTGAACAAACAAATTCTTTGAAAGGCAGGATATTATTTTATATCAATGAGTCATTTATGTCGATCCCATTATAAACATCCCCGATTCCCGCACCATGGAAACTGTAAACTCAGCCCTTCTGAGTGGGAGCGGACTGCCTCACAGATAGATTTCCAAGGGAGCTGACTCGAGGCTGTATTTTTCTAGAAAGCCTTGTTTGGTGATGTTATAAACTGCAGTATTGAAATGGCTGCAGATCCTTTCCCTGGTAAAAGCTTTAAGATCTATCAGCCACCGCATGAAATTGAGCTTTCCAGTGTTCAAGGAAGGCATGACAAACAAGTGAAAGGAAAAAGAAAGGCCTTTCCTTATTCCTGAGTTCCCGCTCTTTGTGGAAGCAGCAAAGCTGACTTTGCCCGCAGCACGTTGGCCAAGGTTGGCCGCACCTGGGCAGGGCCTAGTCTCCTGCCGTCTGAAACCCTGTCAGCACTCTGGGTCGATAGCGATCATTTTGCTTTTACCTTCAAGATGTGCCAGTGAGTGTTTGAAAGAAAAACATAATTCCTGAGTTATCAATTTTTCCTTCACCCATCAAATGTAGTTTGTAAAGAGTTTCTTGATGTGTAAGAAGTCAAACAGTCCTTGTTTGATAAAGGAAGGAGAAACACTAGCTGACTAGGTTCCCCTTCAGTCTGAGGCTGAGTCCCCAGTGGGAACGGGTCTGTATTCGACTCAGGCTGCATGTGCTGCCTCTCCATCATAGACAAGCTCACCCCTGGTATCCCAACCTCCTCAAGGAGAGATCATCGAAAGCATGAAGGACTGTATCGATTAACCCAAGATCTCAGTTACAACATCATGAGGGGCATGTGGGGTGGGGTGCAGTGACAGCATATCAGAAGGTGGCAGGGGTAAGAGGTAAGGAGTACAACTAACCACCCCCCACCCCCACCGCCACCCATTGTCTAGATATTCATTCAGCCAGCTTCCCCTGTCTTTCAGTTTCAGCTCAAAGTCATCCTTGACTCTCAAAACTGAAGGAGCCCTCCCCTGTGCACATCCAGAGCACGTGCCCTTAATCACAGCACTCACTCTATTTATTAATAACCATGCCTTTACTTGCCTAGCTCCCTCCCTAAGCTGGAAGCTCCTTGTTGCAACCCCTTACTATATCCTAGTATCTTTTTTTTTTTTTTTTTTTTTTTTTGTTGTGGTCATAATAGTTTATAACGTGTAATTTCGGTTATACCTTATGGTTTGTCAGTCACCATTATAAATGCGCCCCTTCACCCCTTGTGCCCACCCTCCAACTCCCTTCCCCTCTGGAAACCACTGAACAGTTTTCTTTCTCCATGTGTTAGTTTATCTTCCACATATGAGTGAAATCATATGGTGTATGTCTTGCTGTGTGTGGCTTATTTCTCTTAACATAATACCCTTAAGGTCCATCCATGTTTTTGTGAATGGGACGATTTTGTCTTTTTTACGGCTGAGTAGCATTCCATTGTATATATGTATATACCACATCTTTTTTATCCAATCATCAGTTGATGGGCACTTGGGTTGCTTTCACTTTTGGCTATAGTGAATAATGCTGCAATGAGCATAGGGGTGCATAAGTCTCTTTGAATTGTTGATTTCAAGTTCTTTGGATAAATACCCGGTTGTGGGATAGCTGGGTCACATGGTATTTCTATTTTTAAATTTTTGAGAAATCTCCATGTTTTCCATAGTGGCTGCACCAGTTTGCATTCCCACCAGCTGTGTATGAGGGTTCCGTTTTCTCTACATCCTCTCCAACATTTGTTATTTTTTTCTTGTGATTATAGCCATTCTAATGGGTGTAAGGTGATATCTTAGTGTTGTTTTGATTTGCATTTCCCTGATGATTAGTGATGTGGAACATCTTTTCATGTACCTATTGACCATCTGTATATCTTCTTTGGAAAAATGTTCATATCCTCTGCCCATTTTTTGATTGGGTTGCTTGTCTTTTCGTTGTTCAGTTGTGTGAGTTCTTTATATATATTGGAGATTAACCCCTTGTCAGATATATGATTTGCAAATATTTTCTCCCAGTTGGTGAGTTGTCTTTTCATTTTGTTCCTGGCTTCCCTTGCCTTGCAGAAGCTCTTTAGTCTGATAAAGTCCCACTTGTTTATTTTTGTTTTATTCCCCTTGTCCGAGCAGACATAGTATTCGAAAAGATCCTTTTAAGACTGCCGTCAAAGAGTGTACTGCCTATATTTTCTTCTAGGAATTTTACGGTTTCATGTCTTACCTTCAAGTCTTTGATCCATTTTGAGTTAATTTTTGTGTATGGCGAAAGATAATGGTCTACTTTCATTCTTTTGCATGTGGCTGTCTCCAGTTTTCCCAACACCATTTATTGAAGAGATTTTCCTTTCTCCATTGTATGTTCTTAGCTCCTTTGTATGCTCTTAGCTCCTTTGTCGAAGATTAGCTATCCGTAGATGTGTGGTTTTATTTCTGGGCTTTCAATTCTGTTCCATTGATCTGTGTCTCTGTTTTTGTACCAGTACCATGCTGTTTTGATTACTATAGCTTTGTAGTATATTTTGAAGTCCAGGATTTTGATGCCTCCAGCTGTGTTCCTTTTTCTCAGGATTGCTTTAGCTATTCAGGGTCTTTTGTTGCCTCATATGAATTTTAGGATTCTTTGTCATATTTCTGTGAAGAATGTCATTGGGATTCTGATTGGGATTGCATTGAATCTGTAGACTGCTTTAGGTAGTATGGACATTTTAACTATATTTATTCTTCCAATCCATGTGCATGGAATATCTTTCCATTTCTTTATGTCATCATCGATTTCTTTCAATAACGCCTTATAGTTTTCATTGTATAGGTCTTTCAATTCCTTGGTTAAATTTATTCCTAGATACTTTATTCTTTTTGTTACTATTGTAAATGGGATTGTATTCTTGAGTTCTCTTTCTGTTAGTTCATTATTAGAGTATAGAAATGCAACTGATTTTTGTAAGTTGATTTTGTAACCTGCAACTTTGCTGTAGTTGTTGATTATTTCTAATAGTTTTCCAATGGACTCTTTAGGGTTTTCTATATATAAGATCATGTCATCTGCAAACAGTGAGAGTTTCACTTCTTAATTGCCTATTTGGATTCCTTTTATTCCTTTTTCTTGCCTAATTGCTTTGGCCAAAACCTCCAGTACTATGTTGAACAGGAGTGGTGAGAATGGGCACCCTTGTCTTGTTCCTGTTCTCAGAGGGATGGTTTTCAGTTTTTCTCCATTGAGTACGATGTTGGCTGTAGGTTTGTCATATATGGCCTTTATTATGTTGAGGTACTTTCCTTCTATACCCATTTTATTGAGAGTTTTTATCACAAGAGGATGTTGGATCCTGGCAAATGCTTTCTCTGCATCTATTGAGATGATTATGTGGTTTTTATTCCTCATTTTGTTAATGTGGTGTATCACATTGATTTGTGGATGTTAAATCATCCCTGTGTCCCTGGTATAAATCCTATATGATCTTTTTAATGTATTGCTGTATTCAGTTTGCCAATATCTTGTTGAAAATTTTTACATCTATGTTCATTAGTGATATTGGCCTGTAATTTTCCTTCTCTGTGTTGTCCTTATCTAGCTTTGGTATCAGGGTGATGTTGGCCTCATAGAATGTGTTAGGAAGTGTTCTATCTTCCTCTATTTTTTGGAATAGTTTGAGAAGGATAGGTATTAAATCTTCTTTGAACGTTTGGTAGAATTCTTCAGAGAAGCCATCTGGTCCTGGACTTTTATTCTTTGGAAGGTTTTGATTACTGTTTCAATCTCTTTACTTCTGATTGGTCTATTCAGATTCTTTATTTCTTCTCGGTTCAGTTTTGAGAGGTTGTCTAAGAATTTATCAAGAATGAGTCTAAGAATTTATCCATTTCTTTTAGTTTGTCCAATTTGTTGGCATATAGTTTTTCATAGTATTCTCTTATAATCCTTTGTATTTCTGTGGTATCTGTTGTAATTTCTCCTTTTTCAACTTCTAATGTTATTTATTTGAACCATCTCTCTCTTTTTTTTTAATGAGTCTGGCTGAGGGTTTGTCAATTTTGTTTATGTTCTCAAATAACCAGCTCTTTGTTTGACTGATCCTTTCTACTGTTTTTTTTTTGTTGTTGTTGTTGTTTCAATTTCATTTATTTCTGCTCTAATTTTTATTATTTCCCTCCTTCTGCTGACTTTGGGCTTTGTTCTTCTTTTTTAATTTTGTTAGGTGTAGTTTCAGATTGCTTATTTAAGATTTTTCTTGTTTGTTAAGGTAGGCCTGTATTGCTATGAATTTCCCTTTTAGGACTGCTTTTGTTGCATCCCATATGAGTTGGTATGGTGAATTTTCATTCTCATTTGTCTCCAGACATTTTTTGATTTCTCCCTTAATTTCCTCAATGACCCATTGGTTGTTCAGTAGCATGTTGTTTAGTCTCCACATATTTGTCACTTTCTCAGGTATTTTTCTTGTAGTTGATTTCTAGTTTCATAGCATTATGGTCAGAAAAGGTGCTTGTTATGATTTCAATCTTCTTAAATTTATAGAGGCTTTCCTTGTTTCCCAACACATGGTCTACCCTTGAGAATGTTCCATGTGCGCTTGAGAAGAATGTGTATTCTGTTCTTTTTGGATGGAGTGTTCTATATATATCTATTAAGTCCATCTGGTCTAGTTTTTCATTTAAATCCACTATTTCCTTGTTCACTTTCTGTCTGGATGATCTATCCATTGATGTAAGTGGGGTATTAAGGTCCCCTACTATTATTGTGTTGTTGTTAATATCTCCTTTTAGGTTTGTTAATAGTTGCTTTATATACTTTGGTGCTCCTGTGTTGGGTGCATATATATTTATAAGTGTTATGTCTTCTTGGTGGAGTGTCCCTTTGATCATGATATACTGCCCCTCTTTGTCTGCCATTATCTGTTTTGTCTTGAAGTCTACTTTGTCTGATATAAGTATGGCAACACCTGCTTTCTTTTGTTTGCCATTAGCTTGGAGTATCACCTTACATCCCTTCACTCTGAGCCTGTGTTTGTCTATAGAGCTTAGATGTGTTTCCTGCAGACAGCATATTATTGGGTCTTGTCTTTTAATCCATCCTGCCATTCTGTGTCTTTTGATTGGAGAATTCAATCCATTTACATTTAGAGGGATTATTGATATATGAGGGCTCAATGCTGCCATTTTATTGCTCGTTTTCCAGCTCTCCTGCATTTCCTTTGTTTCTTGTACCATGCATTTCAGACTAACAATTTGGTTTGGTAGGTCTCTACTATGGTTTTCTTAGTTTTCTCTTTACTTATCATTTGTATCTCTATTCTGATTATTTGCTTAGTGATTACCATGAGGTTTGTATAAAAAATCTCATAGATGAGATAGTCCATTTTCTGATAGCCTCTTATTTCCTTAGACTAAGCTGATCCCATCCTTAACCTCTTCCCCTTGTAAGTTATTATTGTCACAACTTATTTCATCTTGTGTTGTGAGTTTGTGGTTAAAATGATGAGATATTTATTTTTGATGTTTTCCTTCCCTTCATCTTTAATGTTATAATTAAGTGTTTGTTAACCTGTTCTGATAGAGAGCTGCAATTTTCTGATTTTGTCTACCTATTTATCTCCTTGCTCCAGGCTTTGTAACCCTTTTCTTGTCTTGTCTTTTTTTAGGTATGAGGGCCTTCTTTAGCATTTCTTGTAGGGAAGGTCTTGTGGCAATGAACTCCCTTAGCTTTTGTTTATCTGGGAAAGTTTTTATTTCTCCATCATATCTAAAGGATATTTTTGCTGGATAGAGTATTCTTGGCTGAAAGTTTTTTTCTTTCAGAAGTTTGAATATATCATTCCACTCTCTCCTAGCCTGTAAGGTTTCTGCTGAGAAATCTGCTTAAAGCCTGATAGGTGTTCCTTTGTAAGTTATTTTCTTCTGCCTTGCTGCCCTTAATATTTTTTCTTTGTCATTGACTTTTGCCAGCTTTACTACTATATGCCTTGGAGAAAGTCTTTTTACATTGGTAGAATTAGGAGTTCTATGAGCTTCTTTCACTGGTATTTCCAGCTCCTTCAGGTTTCGGAAGTTCTCAGCTATTATTTCTTTGAACAAGCTTTCTGTTCCGTTATCCCTCTCTTTTCTCTCTGGAATACCTATAATTCTTATGTTGCATTTCCTAATTGAGTTGGATATTTCTTGGAGAGTTTCTTCATTTCTTTTCAGTCTTAGTTCTCTCTCCTCCTCCATATAAAGCCTTTCTATATTTCTGTCCTCTAGACTGCTGATTCACTCCTCCATATCAGCTCTGTTATTCAGGGAGTCCAGATTTTTCTTTTCTCAACCATTGTGTTTTTCATCTCCAACATTTCTGATTGGTTTTTCTTTACAGTTTCAATCTCTTTTGTGAAGAAGTTCCTGATTTCATTGAACTATCTGTATTTTCTTGTAACTCATTGAGTTTTTTTATGATAGCTATTTTGAATTCTCTGTCATTTAGATTATAAATTTCTGAGCCTTCAGGATTGATTTTTGGGTGGTTGTCATTTTCCTTCTGGTCTGGAGTATTAATATATTTTTTCATAATGTTTGATGGCATGGATTTGTGCTTCTGTATAGTGATAGTATCTGTCCCAGATTCCACCTGCTGCCACTGGGTGGGGGTCAAGAGCTGTGTATTCTGAGCCCACAGCACTCCCTGGCTTGCTTGCTCACAGCTGCTGCTTTTCTATTGTATGCGCAGGTGCTCTGGCTGACTCGCTGAGCCAGAGCGCGGGGTGGAGGGAGGGGCGCTTTCTTTCATTTGCGCAATCTCAGGGGTGTTCTTGCTCTGCCCTCGCTATCTGCCCTCCTAGGGTGCTAGCTTGTTGACAACACCCCCGCAATAGCTTAGTCACCTCTGTGTGGGGCTTTCCCGTGGGCTGTGAGGGAACTTAGAGAGTGAAAGTGTTCCCATGGAGGGCCGCCCCTTCACCCTCTCCTCTCAGAGCTGCGCATGCTCTCATGCCCTGGGTTGCTGCAGTTAGGGGAGGGAGAGGTGATCCCTTTACCCCCTTCCACTTCCTCTGGGGGGTCCAGCACCTCCACCCTCAGACGTATGGCCACATGGGTCTCTCAGATGTCTTTTGTGTTGTGTGAATATCCTCTGTTGGTATATGAATGTCCTTTTCATTGTATCTTAGGGGGGAGGGTCTAAGGGAAGTGCTTGCTCCACCATGATGCTGACATCCTATATCCTAGTATCTTTACTAGATATTAGTCCTTATCACAGGGCAGAGGCTCAAAAATTACTTATTGAATAACTGAATTAATAAATGAATAGCAATTGGATTATAAAGCAAGGGGAGTATAGGTTTTAATGAGATAGCCTTCTTGGCTAGGTGGTCCTGTTTGCCTCTTTAGGTCATGGGATGGGTACCTTTTGGGCTTATGTAGGTCTTTAAGCTATAAAGAAGAGTAAAGTCCTAGAAGCTTTTGAGATTTTTAGGGAATGAGGTATGTATTTAGCACTGGGGACAATTTGGGTTCTGGAGACTTAGCCAAGTAAGGGGAAGAAGCAAGGAACTTAGATCTTGGTTGACTCCACATAGAGGAAACAGAAATCTGCGATTTCCTTCTAGGTTGTCTAGTCCAGCTCACCAAGATACTAAAGAATGGGGATTCAGGCCGATTTGTCCACCAGGAATAAAGACTATGTGTGACTGGAGCGTTTGTTCTGTTATATCTCTTAGAGACCAGAATGTGGTGCAGAAATAGAAAGTTAAAAGTCCCAAACCTTACATTACTGTTATACATGAAATCTATTTGAAATTAGGGTCTATGTTCTAAATACATCTCAACCAAGGATCTCAGTAATATTTTACTTTATATTCCTTTTTATAATAGAAAAATAAATGTTTCTATGTGCTGGCTTTCTGTTTTTAAGTATCTCAAAAAAGAAGAGTACAAAGCTGATATGTGTGTGTGCATGTGTGTATATGATAGACTTAGCAAATAAACTTCCTTGAGAGGTATAAACAAGAGATGGATTTCAAAACTACTTGAATTGCCTACAAAAATCCAGTGACGGAAGTCATATTTCAACACTAGTAGCTCAGTTCTGAAAAGCTAGAGCTACTGGCTATGTTTTCATTGGTCAAACGTCGTTGATAATTAAGCTTTAGTTTGGAGGGATAAAGCTAAGGCCACCAACAATTTTTAGATATACTCAAGTAATTCTAAGTTTCTACTGTTCATGGTTAGTATGTTTTGTTAGATAAGATTTAAATGGCAAAGTGTCTGAATATATATAATTACATATATATATATAATAACATGATGTGTTACAAAAAAAGACTCAAAAATGATTCCTAAAGTTGTAATTTGCGAATGTATCATGCTAAAATTTCCCTTGTTCTTTTTATTACAAAGGAATTGGAGGAAAGGATCTTTTTTAGTGTCAGTAAATTTCCTTCAATCCTCCTCTATTTAAATATTTTCCTTTTTTCATACACCACATTCATACACCACCAAATGTTTCTTTACATTTATAATTTCTGTAAAACAGTGTTTTTCCCTTGTTTAACATTCTGTTTTTCTCAATGTCCTCCCTCTAAATTTAAAGCCATTTCTATCTCTCCCCCTTCCTTTCCTAATTTTCCTTTTTTTCTGATCCCTTTTCCTTCAGCCTAGACCTCAATCTCTATTCTTAGCTCTTTTATGCAATATTGCTGATCCCAGCTCCTCCAGCAGTTTGTAAGGTTGATTTTCAAAGATACATATATTTAATGTGGGTTCTCTGCACCATATGTGGCAAATGGAAACAAGTAAAATAAAGAAAACCTTTGGCCCTTGTACTCCTTGAGGTCCAGGTGGCCCAGGGGGACCCTAAATCCAGAAAAGACAGAGTTTTAAAAGGTAGCAAGTATATGTATAAAAAGTTATGCTTTAAATAATAAGTACACTATCCACCTCCCTAATTTCTATCATAATCAAATATCTCCCAATATAGATTTGCAATGTGGAAAAATTTCACTTTGTAAGACGATGTAAAATTGCTGCTGTGTCCCACACTCATCGTCTTGGGTTGAATTAGCTTACTCATACCACCTGTGTTTCTAGACATGCTTCTCCCCTCCCCCACAAAGGCTTTGATTTCCCAAACACTAAAGAACAAAGCTATATTGTTACAATAAGGCCAAAGACTTTTGAGAAAATTAACTATTTTTTTCCTTGACTTTTTCACTAAGCAGACAAAGCAATTCAACTGGGGAAATGTTGTAAAAGGTTATTAATGTAAGGAAATATAAAATTAAATATCAGATAAATACAACTGCTACATTAGTACCGTTATGACTGGCATGCACCAACACCAAATACAAAGTCCCGAACCACAGAAATCATGCAGTAGGAGTTACCATGACGGTCAGGGTGGTCATCCTCTGTTGGGAAAACGTATCAATAAAGACAGAGTTACTGATTTTGCGTGCCAAACTACAATAATACATTTCTGAAATAATCAACTTTTGAATATGTTTTGGCAAGACTGAGGTCTTAAAAGGAATTGACAAGATACTGAGAACATATTATCCTATCTTCAAATGAATACAATATATTGTAAAGATTCTTTTAAAAATTATGTTTAAAATTTTATGTTAAAAATCTATGGCTAGAGAAAAAAGAAAATGTCAAATTTTAGTTCATTTGATTAAAAAATTATGTAGTAAAATGGTACACACGAAGTTTGTCAGTGTAATTGTGAACTGAGAAACTTTGTCATTCATAGGAGCTCTATTCTACAGTACTTCACTTAGAGAAAACTGATATCTAATTGTACAAGTAATATTTTTGCTCTTTTTCAGTCCATATTTCATTTGTTGTATTATAATTAGCTTGTTTTTGTGTGTGTGCCATGAATGAACATAGGAGTTGACATGGGATTCATCTAGTTTCTTAATGTAAAGTGCTAGAGTACTGTAACAAAATATATTCTCTCAAAGTATGAATCTCCAAAACATCCGATCCCTAATCCATGAATCATTTTTGTGTTAATATTTTCCAGTTTAAGTCTTGGGCTAAAAGTTAGGTAGGGCCTATAACAACTTTATGCGATTACAGAGGAAAGAACATTTTCATTAGGGACTCTGGTCATAGAGAAACATTATCCAATTATATGTAAACTTGAGAATATCAGTTTAACACCAACCCTTTACTTTCCACTACTCCAGTCCAATTTCTGATTAAGGTTGTTGCTGTTTTTTTTAATTATTGTTGTAAAAAATAATCTTAACGTTATCCTTCTCACTTCAAACACTTGAGTCACTAGTGACAGGGTGTCATCCTTCCTTAGAAAACAATATATTTATGCACGTGTACAAATGGTTCAATTTTGTATTCTATGATAAAATCAGTTATGGTCATGACAGCTTCAGAGAAAACATAGCAGGAAAAAAAAAACCCCAGTGCTTCTAAGACAAAAGGCACAATGGTCGCAAACTGGGGGCAAGGTTATAGAAAAACCAAGGTCCAGATTTTTATACCATCATATCTGTGGGACATAAGGCACCACTTTATTTTTCAGGGAGTCACCTAGAGCGAGAGTTGTACTTATGGTTACCAGGAAGCTACTTCTTTGCTCCTACAGGCAGATGAGTCATTAAGAAAGGCCATTAGAAAATTACAGAGTAGAAATAATTTCTTTATCATTGCTTTCCAATTACATATCACATTTTTAACTAGAAAGCAGAATCATAAAACCTTAGTAAGGGAAGGGAGTTTAAAATTTGAACTGTCAAGAGGTTTTCCAAGATGCACCATACATGGTTCATTTTCCACCTAAACATAAAACTTGTTTGCCTTTTTTTACATTTAAGGATAACAACATAGTTTATAATGTGCTGCATAATAGACCAATATATTAATGGTAACTGAACTATCTAACAGATGGGGTTTAAATGACCTTGTTAAATAACTATATTAGTGAGACCTAAAAATTGTACAGGGCAGGTTCCATGCAGTTAATAGCAGAACAAATGACAGGAAACTAACCTAACTTCTCAAAAACATAGCTTCTACTACCATCCTAAAGCACCAGCATGCAGACACTCAGGGACATTCTAAAGATGTTGGCTCACTGTGGACTTCTTCTACCTGGTTCTTCTAAGTTAAAGTGATATAAACTCAGCAGGATTCTCTCTGGAACTTCAATAACGATTTGAAAACCAGGACTTTTGGTAGTGATGGACAAAGACATGCCCTTCTCTAGTGAGACATGATGTGAAACGGGAGGCCTGAGCTAGGGCACCTCTGAGTGGGTTGAAGGCTAGCAGGCTGCTTTGTGATTTTATTTCCTGAGATGCTTATGTGAATCTCTTTCATTTCTCATAATGATGCAAGCTGAAAATCACCCAGGGTTTATGCTACAGAACAGGTTTCGGTTACATGGTGTGGAGAAATTTTAAAAGCTTGAGCTAGGAAATGGAGAGGTTTTACTGCTAATTGTGGAAACGTAACCACCACCTTAAACAAAAATCAAAAGAAATGGCTTATGGCAAACGTTCATGTAAATAACAATTTTCAATAGGGGCAACAGTAGAATTTCATATTTCTAATGTGATTAGTTTTATAACTGTAATTTATTCCTATTTATCTAGTCATTATAGATTTTTAAGCAGATTTTTTTAGAGGAGGCAATAGTCAATGAAATTGGCAAAACTGTGAAGATCCATCATTAGTCAGAGAATTAGAAGAATAAATGTCTACTACTTCCTCTCAATCTAATGGATGTTTAGTTTAGTTAATTTTATTAGGAACTCTTAATCCACTAGAGTACTATATTAGGAAATAAATAACTAGTTTTGAAGTGAAAAAAAAATAACTATCAGCTATTTACAAGCACAACATACAGTTGCCCTAACAACCCCATAAGAATAATAAATCTTTAGGTTGAGATATAAACATGGACTAGTTGACTATGATGGATATTGACTGGTTTACAGTTATACAGGACTCAAGGTGAGAAAAAGAAACTGAGCACATATATCCTTTCATATCAAGATGCAGGTGTCAGATTTTTTAAAGAGTGTAGTGTGTTTAGGCACACCAGTAGAGAGTGTTCAGGAGACCCTAAAAAATAACTCTAAGCATGATATTAGATTTTATAGATTCTTAGAAAAAATCTATTCCAAAAATATCCTCATTTTACAGATCAGATCAATGAAGTATACATACATTAAGTGATTTCCCCAAAATGACGTAGCTATTTAGTAGCAGAGGGAAAATCAAAACAGAGATTTCAGTTTTAGGCTCAGGGCAGCCTGCTTCATGCCAGGCCTGTGCATACAGGATGCTGTAACAAGACTCACAATTTTTCAGAAAATGGCCAATAATATTGGAGCATTTCTTGGAAGATAAGAGAATGGATACCTCTTAAGGGTGGTAATAAGAATTACAATGCCAATGGAAGCAGTTTAAGGGAAATTTACAACATTGCTAATAAATTAAGTTTAAAAAGTGTGTTCCTATATTTTATAAGTAAGAACTTTGAAAATTAGGTACACAAAAATTCTTGTTCTCTTTCTCTTTTTCTTTACACATGCATTTATCAACTTGTGAGAAAAAGGAAACAATTTAGACAACTGGTTCTAGAGCTTGACAACAGCCCAGAGGCTACTGCTTGTGTCTAACCTACTTGCAAGGAGGAACACTAATTCAAGCCGTGGACTGACCATCCTGCCCAAGCAACATCTCTCCAAGCAGGAGGTGTGCTTCTCTTTGCATCTTACCAGAAGAAAAAGAAGGAAAAGAACAGAAAAATTTGCTGAGCTGAAGAAAGATTCTGTAAGAACTATTTAATAAATGCTTTACTAGGTAACAATGGTAGTTGCAGCAAAGGAGCCACAGAAATGTAGATCCACCATAATTAGACAATGTTAGTGAAATCATGAGGATGGAAAAAAATTTGAAACAAGTACAAAATGGCAAATATTTAAAACAACTAATCTGGCTTTCAAGCAAAGAAGTAGATTGTCCATATGAGCTAAGTAGACTCACTCTTTCAACCAATAATAGTTTATTTAAAATTTACAAGCCCAGACCTGTGTCAGGCATACTGGGGGTGCACAATAAGCATAAGACATGTTTCCTGTCATCAACTAACTTACAATCTGGTAAGAGGCAAGAGAAAAATAAATTATGCAACTTGAGAATAATTAAATGTTAAACTACTGGGTCCTGACTGCTGATGTTTAAAAGGATTAAGAGGAGAAATTTATGTGGGTGGCAGCAGTGGATTGTTGGATGGGATTTAGATGGATGAAAGAAAGGAAAGAAGAATGGGATGAATCAGGTAAAAAGAGGGCGACTTTTATGGATATGAAAAATATGACTGTTCTAGGGGGAAAAGTGTGTTGTGGAGAAATAGAAAATTCTAGACAGGAAAGGCAGGGTTATAGAGCCTAAAAGTCAGATGCAGAAATTTGGGCTTGATAGAATAGGCAAGGGAGTCATTTAGGTTTCTGAGCAGATTAGAGCCATCAAAATAGTGATAGTTTAGGAAAAGTAGACTTGAAGTGATATACAGGATGGATTAGAAGGGCAAGGAGGCACTAGCGGCAGAGGAATTGGTCAAGGGCTGGTTGCAGTGTTAGACCTGAAATAAACAGGATGTGGACCTAGCTGGGAATGGAGAGAACAGAGACACTTTGAAAAAAGAAATAGCAGCATCTGGTGAGATACAATGAATGAAGGACTAAGACTAGTTTAAAAGACTAGTTTCTATCTCAAGAAATTCAAAGACTTATAGTATCACTAACAGAAATTGATTAGTTAAAAAAGGGAATCATTTGGTAGATGGGAAAGGTAACCAGTATACTTGTGTGTACTGGGGGGAGTTGATAGGGTGATGGTGCATCCATGGTGGAAATATTCTTAGACAGCTGGAGGTATATGCAGATCAGACCTGGAGATGAAAGATTTGGAAGCCAGAACATGGAGGGAGTGATTGTACCATGAAAAGATCAGAGACTTCAGGATACCAAAAGTTAGGGGATGGACAGAGAAACTGGAAATGCTAAAATACAGTAGATCCATTGAAGAAGAAAACTGGAAGAAATGAAAGTAGGGGGTCAGAGAAATCAGAAACAAGGAGTTTCAAAAGGAAGGTGGTTTAGTAAAAATGTCACAGAAAAGTCAACAGTGATGAGTACAGTGGGCTTGACCCAGCAGTTACTGTTGACCTTTATAAAAGAAGTTTCAACAGGATGGTGATGATGTAGGCTAGAATGCAGAAGGCTCAGCAGGAAGAGGATGAGCAAGAAGCAAAGGTGATGGAGACAAGCCACATGGTCTACGGGTTTTTACCTAACGGAAGAAAAGGAATTGAACGGTAGCAGTACTAAGAAATACTTGTGGAGGTCCTGCTCTGTGCCAGGCACTGTTCTAAGTGTACAATATGTATTTAGTCACTTATTCCTCACAGCAACGCTATGAGGCAGATACTATTACGATGCTCATCTTACAGATGAGAAAACTGAGGCACAGGGATGTTAAATAATTTGCCCTAGGTCATGCACTTAGTAAGAAGAGATTTGAACCCAGGCAGATCCACCTCCACAGCCACAGGGCTCTTAATTGCTTTGTGAGGCTCGCTTTTCAAGCAAGGAGACAAAGATTGGCAAAAACTAACACAAGGTTTAAACTAGATAAGACTAAAGCACATCTGAAGGTAGAAGGGAAAGAAGAGGCAAGACTGAGAAATGCTGGGAAGTAAAGAGGATAAAGCGGGGCAGGGAGAAGGGGATGGGTTCAGGGGATCAGGGAGAAGGTGGCCTTTGAGCAGTGGAGCCCTCTGAGACCCAAGGCTGGTCTTTACACACACACATGGCGCTCATCAGTGTCACTGTCTGTGTCAGGGTGGGGAGCAGTCACTTGCCTGCAAAGCTTCGTGGAGGTTGCCATTGTAGTCTATGATCTCGGTAGCTCCTTGATCCCCCTTTTGACCAGGTGGACCCTACGAAAAAAAATCAACCAAGGGAAGACCTTGGAAGTTAGGCTAGGATGCAGAAGGGACTGGCAAAAATAGAAATAGCAACATGTAGCTCCCTCTGACCATCAATACCCTAGTAAGGCCCAGCTGCACTTTAGAATAAATAATCATGTTCAAATTTTGTCCCTATTTCAAAGGAGGCAAACCACTTCTAACTTCCCGTCTGTGGAAGATTAAAGACATGAAATCTGATTTAAAAAAGACATATGATTCAATCTCTGAAATTTTCTTCTGAAAAGTATAAAATGTAGGCTAATCTGATTTGACATAAAATTTTGTTGGCTTTATCCATATTTATTAAAACAACCCCTAACTTCTTTATACTTCTCTACACCTCATAGATTCCTTCCTCATTCTTTAAGAAGATATAACACTGTTCTGTAGGAAATGGTTGGCCTTCCCAACAGGAATAGAATGCCATTAAAATTAAACCAAATAGGGAACAAATTTTTTTTTCTTTTGTGAGTAAGATTCACTCTGAGCTAACATCTGTTGCCAATCTTCCTCTTTTTCTGCTGGAGGAAGATTAGCCCTGAGCTAACATCTGTCCCAATCTTCCTCTATTTTGTACGTGAGTCACCACCACAGCATGGCTTAACAAGTGGTGTAGGTCTGCACCTGGGATCTGAACCTGCGAACCCGGGCTGCCAAAGCAGAGCACGCTGGACTTAACCACTATATTACAGGGCCGGCCCTGGGAACAAATATTTTTAAGACATATACCCTACTCGTTAACTGGTCTGCTACTGAATTTCCATTAGTCACGTCTTAATTCTCTGCCTGTGTTTAAAAAAGGCTCTGAAAATATGGGCTATTGCTTTCTTTATAATTGGGTTAACTGAAAAATGGAAAATTCTATTAGCTGGATGGCTATGGGTTTGCTACTGCTCATTTAGCAGAGGGGAAGTAGATAGAAAGAGTTCTTTAGACCTCCTTCTCCTGGAGTTTATTTTATGTGTTAGAATCTACACATTCATTGCTCCTGGTGACTAAAATAAAAAATAAGAGGAAAGGGGAGTAGCAGGAATAATTACAGTCATCTACCTCCAGTGCTATCATTGGACATCATTAATCTAGGTGCCTTGTGAAAAGCCACATGGACACATATATCAAATCTGGGCTTGTAGGGGGCTAAAGGCTTAGTTGAGAGACACACTCACCCTTGGTCCCAGGTCTCCAGAGTCCCCTTTGTCTCCACGATCACCCTTTCCCCAGTGAAAAAAGAAAAAACCTAATTAGTAGTGGGACCAACAGTCTAGAAATATCTCATATCTAATGACGTCTTTAATACCATACAGCAGCACCTTTAATAAGAACTTCTGAAGTAGAAAACATCTAGAAGAACAATAACCACCAACACGGCAAATGCTTCTTTAAGATGCACCTTAAAGTGAATTAAAATTCCCCTTTCAGATGACAGAGTAGCTTGAAACAATAATACGTATGTTACCTCTCTCACTAGGGATCTTCAAAAGCAAAGCAAGTGGTTTCTATGACACCCAAAGTAAGCTTTCACCTCTCAGATTGAGCCATGTTCTTGCCTTTATATGAAGAGATTTGGGGCAAAGCGAAAAGAAAGTGAACTAACTGGGTTGTCTGCTCTCTGAGAAGGAAAGTGTAGATAATTGGGACAGGAAAGGAATGAAGGGCTCATTCTAGGGAGACTTAGAAGTGAGAGGTCCCCAGCTAGGCCTCCCGCTGATGAGGAAGATCTAAGGAAAAGTTTTTCTACAGGTACGTACAGGCCTTGTAAGACTCAGAAGGTGCTGAAGTGGACAGCAGCTAGCTGGACCAGGTTGGCAGAGCCGAAGGTCAGGGCAGGGCCAACTCAGCCCTCTTTTTTTCAATGCAAAATGAAAAATATCTAACGTTCCATTTATGGTGTTATTACCCCACCTGGAGAGACACCAGGGGTAGTCTAAACCCAAAACTGCACATGCATCACTCTGAGAACACTCAAAATTCTCGGAAGTCTAAACGGAAGCTTTGGAGAAGAGGTTTGAACCTGTGTAGATTTGAAGTTTCTTTTAAAAAGCCTAAAATTTATAGAGTCCTTTTCCTAAATGGAATTCAAAGCATTTTTTTTCCTAAATGAAATTCAAAGCATATTCCTATAAACTGGGTAAGGACCAATGAAGAGAAGCAGGAAAAAGGATTCTCATTTTTTTCGACTCACATTATGCTAATAGCATTGACCATAATAATTAAATTTGCTATGAAAAAAGAATTAATAATTCCTGCTCTCTATTTTCCTCATTTTGCACCCATTTTTCCATGTTATTACCTAATGGCATCTTAAATAACACCAGCATATAGATTATTGCAGATACCATAAAAAGCATGATAAAGAATTTCAATGGGTGGTGAAATTTTAATGCAATGAAGGGAGTCAACTAACTTAAAAGCAAAGTATGATTTAAGCATAGCTCAAAAGATAGCCAGGAAATAAAAATAAGATTATACCTTATATAATTTAATTTGAGTAAAGTACTTAATTTTTTCCAAAGAAACTATTTTTACAACACAGGAAATACAACTTCTCTCAAATAGTCTGAAGCACAGCAACACACGGAAACAAACAAGATAAAACAAACCAACTGTTTTGAGATATCATCATAGGGATGAAATTGTTGCAATCCCAGTGTGTGCAAGAATTTAACCTAAAACGATTCTCCGTGGAAGAGGCGAAGAGCGCCGCTCTTGAGGGTCTCATGGTTACAAGGTGACCTGGTTACTGACCTTTGACCCCTTTGGGCCTCTAGTTCCTGATTCACCTTGTTTCCCCTATTACAGGAGAATATGAAGATGAGAAGAAGATGACAGAGGAGATAAGAACAGAAAAAAGAAATTAGCAGTGTCTCAGAATAACGAAGAAAAATGGAAACACTTTATTTTAACTGCCTCCATATATGGCTCTGTGTAATGTTGGCTTTTATAACACTAAATATAGGTATTATCACCACGTCACGAGTTCATTCCCTGGTCTCTCCACTGACCTTCATTTCACTATAATCCTGAAGACTTCCCACCCATCAGTGGATGGGAAGAGTTCTGAGAATGATTCTCATTAATCTCAACAGTGTTTGCATAAACTTCCTTTTCATCCAAGAGTAAATCATTTCCTGTGTCTCTAGGATGTGTTATTAAAATAAAGAGTTACCATATTAGTTTGCAGGAAGTTTAGAGGAACAAAGATTGAACAGTCAAATAAATCCTTAGCTCTAATATTTTCAAGGTGTTGTACACCATCAAGTTACCACAGAAACTACCACAGCACGAATCTACCTTTTTCTAAGTTTTAACACACAATGAATGATAACGTGCTAATATGACAGTGCCTCTCCCTTTACGTTTGGATGTGTTATTAAATTTGTTTACCAAATAGAACACAGTAAACTAGAAAAGTCGAATTGTAAAATCCCTTTAGAAAAGAACCGATTGGTGAACATTTCAATAAATTATTTGTGATTTTGGCTGTTATGATACCTGTTGAGGAATTTTATTTTAGTTTCATGTTCTAAGCAAGTGGCACACATTCCCAAACCACAGAATGTTATTTTCCAGTGTGAGAACAACTGACCTTCAGTCCAGGGGCTCCAGGCTCCCCTCGCTCGCCTCTTCCAGGAGGCCCTGCCTCCCCGCGTTCACCCTGTCACAAATTACAAAATAGGTAAATAGCAACCTCCCTGCCATCAGGCTGGTCTCTGTAGATTAATGAATAAAATCAAAGCAAGCAGAGAGTTGCCATTTATTTACCATGTACACAGCACTCTATTAATCTCAACACGGATTATCCCACTTAATAATCAAAACAATTATTCAATGTTTGTATTATCATTCCCATTTTATACACAAGGAAGTGGTTTCGTAAATGCATGTCAGATATCGATGTTGGTAATTAGAAAGACCTTTAAAGGGAATTGATAAGGGCTGTCATTATACCTCAAGACAGGCACGGATATAGTTTTCATTCTGCAGCCACTTTTTAAGATCTACTGGGAAGAAGCATGGCACAGTGGTTACATGCCAGGTTTTGTAATCCAACATCGTGGGTTTTAATCCTGGCTCTGTTATTTGCCAGTTCTGTATTTTGGGGAAAGTTAGTTAAGTTCTGAAAGCCTCAGTTTCCTCTGTAAAAAGGAGAAAATTATAGTACTGGCTTTATAACTTATAAATGTAAAGGGCTCACAACAGTGTAATACACACAAGTGTTACAGCTTTTTACTATATTCATAGCTCTGTGAAGTAGGAACATGGTCACTGCCCCCTAGGAGCTAATGATCTAGTTAGACAGACAAAATCCACATGAACAAAACAGTTAAGAATTAAGGAGTAATGCAAGGCTACATGCGAGAGAAGAGGAAACCCCATAGAGTTCTGAATGGTCCAGATTGGCTCCTGAGGTGAGACTGAGTCATGTCCTGAGGATGGGGAGGGTGTATTTTATAATTATTGCTGTTTTATGACTCTGCTGTTGATGAGTGCAGGAACGGCACAGAACACTTTACATGTGTTATCTTATTTAATCCTCAGGACAAATGAGAAAGGTATTAGTATCCATAGTCTACAGATGAGGAAGCTAAAGCTCGGAGAGGTTAAGTAACTTGCCCAAAGTCACAAGGCTTTTAAAATGGGAGAGCTGATTCAGAACTGATTGTGCTCAATCTTCCATTTTTGCATCAATTTTTTTTTTTTTTTTGGTGAGGAAGATCGGCCCTGAGCTAACATCTGCCAATCCTCCTCTTTTTGCTGAGGAAGACTGGCCCTGGGCTAACATCTGTGCCCATCTTCCTCTACTTTATGTGGGACGCTGCCACAGCATGGCTTGAGGAGTGGTGCGTCGGTGCACGCCCGGGATCCGGCGAACCCTGGGCCGCAGCAGTGGAGCGCGTGCACCTAACCACTTGCGCCACCGGGCCGGCCCCTGCATCAATGTTTTTGTATGTAAATATTTTGCACATCTCTGTTCATTTTCTTAGGATAAATTCCTAGTTGGGGAATTGCTGGGTCAAAAAGTATGAACATTTTAAAAGCTTGTCAAGTTGCCCTCCAGGAAGACAGCGCCGTCTCTCCCTGACCACAGGGCAGAGAGTGACAGCTTCCTGCACGGTGGGTAGAATTTCCATAATCAAACAGGGTTGGCATTCAGACTGGTGACGGCATGTTTATGGATGAGAGATGCACCTCCCCACTGAAGGAGCTCACTCATCTTGGAAACGAGAAGAAAATAGGATTGGATCCATGATGGGTGATGTTGGGCTCTAAATTCCAAGATCCCTGTCTGTACCATGTCCATCTGGGAAGCTTTTGTGGTTTGCAGGGGAGGTGTGATAGGTTCGGGCAAGGATTGAAGAACACTCTGTAGGTTTCTCAGCATGAACCAAAGAGCATGTGAAAATGAAGAGGTTGGGAGAAAGGTGAGAGACTTGACCTATGTAGGAGATGGAAAGGTGTCCAGATGGCATCTCCCAGGGATTAGAGACTGAAGGGCTTCTGTTGGTATACGGAATTTTTATTTTTTAAAAAAGTACTATATTTGGTGATTCTTTTAATAGTTTACAGAAGAATTCTAAAATAGGAACGAACTATAAGATTATTTTAGAGAAAAACAAAAACCTCAGAAAATCATTTATCTGTATTATACCACAGGAGTCTATATATCTTTACCTAGAATCACTTTTTATCACAATGCCCCTAATTTTGATTATCACTCTTTGGAATTACATTATTCACTTATTTACTTCTTCCTCTCCTTCTACCCCTCTGTCACACACACTGGGAGAGTAGAGACTGCTTTTGTTGCATTTAATCTCCATTCTCAAATAGTAGAAAAATGTCTGGCAAAAACTGTTGAATTAATGAATAAACAGTATTATTCAAAGTATTCTAAATTATTCATAATGAAATCCCATTTCTTTAGACTGGTGTAGGTCTCTTCCAGGCACTGATGCCAATGCTGAGGAGACAGCGGTACTTAAAACAGACTTTTAGATGCCATTATACATCTTCCTTCATGATGATCTCTCTTCACTGTGTTGGGGGTAAAATATGCAGGATTAGTTTATTTTTCAAATCTGAGTTTAGTCGTCCAAATCCAGACTGCCTACACAACTGGAAAAAGACTTGTGTTTTCAGGCTGAAAGAGATTTTTAAATAATCATGACTTTTCCCTTATGATACCAAGTGCATGTCAGATAGGCAGTTTAGATGAAAATTAACTTCAAAATAGTGTTAATAAAATGAACTTCCTGCCCACACCCCTACTTGGGAAAATGCAAAACAGGTACAGTACATTCTTTACTTTTATTGGGAGTTCGGAGCAGCATCTGTTATAGAAGTATCTGGTCTGTAAAATCAGGCTGGGGTCTTCACGAACAGTAATTAATGTGGATTTTACGGCTCTACATCTGGATGTTTTTGAAACTGCATAATAGTTTCAAATCAGTGAACTACAGAAAAGACATTTAGGGATGAACTCCACTCTCTCCTGCCTGTGTTTCTTCTATTTTCCCTTCTTTAGCAAACAAAAGGCTGCAAACATTTAGGATCTGGTTCAGGCCTGCTTCTCCGGCGTGACTGGTTTCTGGTTTCTCTGTGCTCGTCCACGGGGCTGTCTCGTCTCTTACCTGGCTCTCAGGCCGCAAGCCCAAATACATACAACAGTTCTAACATGAACACAGAATGCTCATTATTCTCTTGCTCTCTCTCCTTTTATTCCAGAAAGTGCATTTCTTGTGTGAATCTTTTCAGGCTAAAACAGGCATTCCTCATATTTTGTTAATAAGTCTGACAGCTCATTATGTGAAAATGAAATTGCTTAAGAAAACAGCAATTTTTCATAAATCCAACTGAGTTCAGCCCCCCTTAGGCCACACATAGTTTCCATTTACTAGAATTAGAGTTATTTTCTCTTGACCAGCGGAAATGAGAACCCTTCTGTCAGAACAGACCATGAACATAGTTCTCTAGCTCTTGGAAATCATCTTGGCTTATTTCTGTGAATGCAATACACATTGAGGCAAAGTCTGCGATGGTTTAAAAATAAAAGAATGTAGTTTGATCTAATTTTGCCCCTTCTGTGATTCATGAGTCTGTCATAAGTAAGGTTCCATCCTCAGAGCTGTGCCTTTTTATGTCTTACTGGGTAGATAAAAAGAGAACGATGGGCCTCACTGTATCCTCAGCAACATAATTTTTTATATGGCGGCAGATCGATTTGTTTTTAGGGCCCTCTCCAGGGTTGCCAAGTGGAAGGAAGATCACGAGATGGTTTTCATTACAGAATCTTTCTGCAGACATCATTCAGCATGGATCCTTTTGGGATGAGGCACTTAGGAATCTATATGACATCAGGACCTGCCTTTGAAATCTAGGGAGTGATGGAGGAATAGTAATAATGTTTGATTTACAAGTATGTCCTAAAATCAGTGATGAGGAGCGAAAGTTAATGAGTTCTATCTCTCCTCCTCAGAATTCCCTCACTTTTCCATATGGCCAGGAGGCTAATAGCATCATATCAATTTAGGAGCAATTTGGGGGACAACTGTAACAACTAATATATTCCACCATTCTGTTGTGTTGCCTAAGGCTTTCTGGAATTAACTTCCTATTACTCTATTTAATATGGTATTCTCACTGAAGTGCTTAGTAACAGGTGATAGGCTGCTTTAGTTCTCTATCTGGCAAAAATATCTGGTCACCTAAATAATAAAGTTACCCCACATTCCTTTCAACATAATGAACTAAAAATATGTGAAAAAATTTCAGAAAGAAAGGAAGGGGAAAAAGATTACACTTACCTTTGTTCCTGGTAACCCTGGTAAGCCTGGTTCCCCCTGAGGACCAATGAAACCCGGTTCTCCCTTTAAAAAGATGGGCATATGAGACCGTTATTCATTTGACAGTAAATAAGTAGAGTTAAACTGATTTCCTTCTGCTGGGATTTTACTCCTTTGATTCCATACAGTTTTCTTGCTGAGATCCAGCAACTGACTTTAAAATTAATCAGAATTGGTTCTGATCAGTGCAAATACTTCGAGCAAAGCTTTGGAGAAACTTTAGAAAGGGAAAGTGACAAAGAAACCAGATAAATGTCTTTACAATTTCCTTTCTCATCTGTTGTACAGTGCTTCTTATCATTTACCAAATGAAGATCCATTATATTTGGGTGGATGTGGTAGGTAGCCTCTAAGACAGGCCTCAATAACCCCACCTCCTGGTATTCATGCCCTTGTTTAATCCCCTCTGCGTGAGTGTGAACTGGATTTCCTGTCTCATATCTATTGAACAGAATATGGCAGAAGGAATGGGATATCACTTCTGAGGCTTAGTAATAAGAAGACTGTGTCTTCCATCTCGGAGGCTCTTCCTTGTTGTCTCTCCCGTGGATCACTTGCTTTGGGGAAAGCAAGCTGTCATGCTGTGAGCAGTGCTACAGAGAGGTCCACGTGGTGAGGAACAAGGTCTGCCAATAACCACATGTGTAAGCTTGGGAGTGGATGCTCTACCCCAGTAGTCTTCAGATGACACCACAGCCCTGGCTAACAGCTTGACCGCATCATCATGAAAGACACTGAGCCAGAGGCACCCAGCTGAGCTGTGCTCAAATTCCTGTTCCTCCAAAACTGTGAGATAATTGTTTGTTGTTTTAAGCCACTCCAGTTTTAGGGGTAATATGGTAGGCAGCAATAGATAACTGACACAGTGGATGTGGCTAGGGAGGAGATTCAGGAATGTTCAGCATGAAAGGAAAAAACACCCCTTTTTGCCATACTTCCATAACCTCTTCTCCACTGCCTGGAGAAGGTATAATTCTCTACCTGGTTGTGGTATAATAAAAAATGTATTTGGTCTTTTTCCTGGTTCCTGGCACAGAGCTCCTAAAACCCTTGGAATTCCCTGAGTGATATGAGTAATAGGAGCACCTTTTGTTATTCATAACAAGCCTCTTTCAAAGGTACCAGAGTTTAGGCTAATGAGGTGACTGTTGGGGGCCCTAGAGAGCTTCGGGATGGGGGCTGTGATAAGAGGGTGGAACTTTCAGCCTGTCTCCTCCTCTCACCATTTCCAGGGAGGAGACGGGCTGGAGAGTGAGTTCAGTCACCTATGGCCAATGATTCAATCAATTGTGCCTACAGAAGAGAGCCTCCATAAAAACCCCTAAACAACGGGGATTGGAGAGCTCCCAAGCTGGTGAACACATTCACATGCTGGTAGGATGGTGCATCCCAACTCCAGGGGACAGAGGCTCCTGCGCTCGAGACCCTGTGACCTCACCCTACGTACCTCTTCATTTGGCTGTTCATTTTATCTTTTATAATTAACTGTAATAGTAAGTATGCATATTCTTGAGTTCTGTGAGTCATTGTAGCAAATTATCAAACTTGAGGGGAGGTGGGAGTGTGTAGTTGTGAGTATCCTCAAATTTGTAGCCAACTCAGACAGAAGTTCAGGGAACCGGGGGACCCGGTACTTGAGATTGGGGTCTGAAGGGAGGGCAGTCTTGTGGGACTGAACCCTTAAACCTGTGAAGTCTGATGCTAACCCTGAGCATTAGTGTCACAATAGGATTGAATTGTAGAACACGCAGTTGGTGTCAGAGAATCAGAGAGTTGGAGAATTGGTGTTGGAAGACACCACGTATTTGGTGTCAGAAAACACCTGAGACCAGTGTTCACATTTTCTTGACTATCCATAAAGTTTCATTTTCTTCTCAGCAACGTGAGCACAAATATGAGTCTAAATTCCTTAAATCCAGAACAAAGTTTTAAAGCAAAAAACATAATGGCTCTGTTCCCATATTTCCTGGAGTTTTTTTTACCCGCAGTGGATTATTTCTGGAGCAGTTGCTAATGTTGTCTGATAACATTTGATTTTTTTCTAAGGTGGCAATATTTCAACGTGTTTTTTGATACTTAAAGTTGAGCAAGCAGATACAGAGAGGATATTTTCTAAGAAGTGTTAAAACGTCATCAAATATTTTTCAAACAAGTGAGTTTCTAAAATATGCTACATAAAACCATTGGTATGGGGTGGGGAACAAAAGGACATCACTACCAGAAAATGTAAGCTATTCGTATATAATTCAACCAAATCTATCTCTAGCTCTGATGTTCATGGTACTGGTTTAAGAAAAAAAAGGTGGAGAGGAACTAACGCTTTAGGTTAATTATTTGTGAAATTTCTATAACTCTATTCTACATGTCCCCACACCCTTACACATCATGGAAAGGAGAAACTGAGCAAATAATTTTGTGCAGATCTCTTAATGGTCTAAAATGAAAATCAACTATATTCAGAGAAATCAATGATGACCATTCTACTTCTTATAAAAGAGTTTAATTTGTTATTTTAAACAAAAAATATCATAAGGGATACATTTATTTACAAGTAAGGTATTTCTCTCAATAAAATGATATATACAAACATATAAATATTCCCTCTCCACCCTCAAGAAAAAAGGTGTATTAAAGCCAATGTGTATCATTAGTAATGACTTACTGTCTTGAAAATATAATGCAAGTTAGTAGACTGAAAGTTTACAGGTGGACAAGACTCTTGCATATCTTCAAGTAGAAATAAAATGATCTCACTTTTTAGCAAAGCAAATAGAAGCACCATTAAAGCATACTAAGAAAAGAGAAGAAAAAAGAGTAAATGTTGCAAAAACATATTTCTTATTCAGGTTAGTGTTTAGTTTATAAGAAGATGAAACATGCAGTTTCATAATTCACAAATAAATAAATAAGGCTTTGTGACTTCAGGGGTCAGACAAAAGTGTTTTTTCTTCCTTTTTTAAAAATAGAACATATATTAAATTCTCTTGAGTAAAAATGTATTCTCTTTAAACAGAAATGTTCTGGGGGAAAATTTTTATTTCAAGATAGAAAATTAGCAATGCAGTTGACAGTCACAATAATTTTAGCTCTATTAATATTAGCTAATTTTAAAGCTTTGAGTATGATTAAACCTTACCATGCTACTCTAAGATAGTAACTACCATTAATACATTCAATTTATTTCAATTTATTCAAGGAGAAAAATAGCATACTTAACTTTAGCATCAAATTTTTATGTTTATTTAAATCCAGAGCTCTCAATCACTTCAGAGACATTATCTCCATCCTCTCTATCTCTTGGCAGGATGAGGAGGAAATAATCATTGGTCTTTTTTCTGTCTCAGGCTTGGAAGACAATTGCTGAAGCAAATAAGGCATAAATATGTCTACTTGTGGTCTTGAGCTGGGTGGACTGTATCTTACCTTCCTAAACTTATACCAGGGGTTCTCAAAGCGCCTTGTCACGTACCCTCATTAGTTAACAGAGTAGGAAACGTTCATTGATATGGTTTCAGATTCCACATTGTGCCTAATCTCGAAGAAACTACCACTTGTAGAGTCTGGAGTAGTATCAAAGAAGAATATCCACAATTTTATGGAAAGGTTATGAAAATCATCTTCCTTTGTCCAACTGCATATCTACATGAGGCTGGTTCTTCTTCCTATACTTCACCCAAAACAACGTACTGCAACAGACTGAATGCAGAAGCAGATAGAGGAGTTCAGTAGCCTTCTATTAAGCCAGACATTAAAGTGATTTACAAACAAACAAACAAAAAGTATAACAATGTCACTCTTCTTGCTAATTTTTTTTTGCTTTGGAAAATTCTATTTCATAAAACGTTATTTAATTAATACGTAATGAGTTTTTTAAATTTCTTAGTTTTAATTTCTAATACGGAAATGTCAATAGATATAACATATGTAAATGAAAACTCTTTCAATCCTAATTTTTAAGTGTATAAAGAGGTTTTGAGATCAAAATGTTTGAGAACTGTTGGTACAAAGGTACAGAACTGAGTTAAAACTGGCTTTGCAAACTGGAATCTTGAGGTGCCAAATAAATTGGTGTCATTAAGGGGTGGCCTCGTCAAGATTTATTATAAGATAATGCGAGGAAGGCACTGAGTACTGTTGCTGGAATAAAGGCAGCGAACAATAAATGTCTGTTATTAGTGTTGGCGTGATCTTATAGGTTCACAAATGTTAGGTATCATCATCATCATCATCATTAGTAGTAGTATTACAACATCTCTGCAACTCATTGGTGACATACAAGGCGACTTCTTGTTTCTTTGCAACCTATATGGGGCTATGCTCAATAGCTCTTCAAATTCTTTCAAGAAGTAACCCTAAATTTTCTCATGTGACTATATCATCATTTTATGAGACAATATCCACCTGCAGAGCATTTACGACTGCAAAACCAAAAGTGTGTAAGGTAGAGAAGTGACAAGTTTACTAAGAATGAGTTTTCTTCCTGTAAGGAAGGGAAAGGAGAAAATGGTTGTACCCATTGAAAATCTCTAAATAGATGTAATCCTTTAAAAAAACCTTGCCTCTTTGACAAGGACTGATGTAGAGTATAACGGCTCTAGAATCTCCTAAAATGTCTAGAAGAAAGCCTATGACAACCTACAGTCCTAGAAATACTTTAAAGTGATAAAAAAAATAAGCAAGTGGTTATTCTATGGTAGTCACAGTTCTAGTTAACCAGGATAGAGGAAGGAGACCGGGTCAGGGGAAGGTAGGAGAAAGCAGCTGAAATATCATTCAAACACGAAACACTTCCGTGAAATCATCTTTGGAGTCAATCAGACTACACAAAAATGAGATTACGTAAGTTTTTGAGGCAACAAGAAGCAGAAGTAACTATTAGTATTTCTCAGAGCTGTTTTTACGTATCTAATCTCATTTAATCAATGGGAAATAGGAGATTGCTGAATTGGAAATTATTCACACGTATTTGTCTGAGTAGACAAGGTGGGGGAGAGATGCAGTAGAGAAGTTGGAACCATAATGGA